ATCAATGGGGACAATTTGTCAAGAAAAAAAAAAGAAGTCTGACTTTTCTAACAAGTCCCCTCTGGAAAGGGTCTGTCCTGCTTTCACCACTCTACCTGTGCATGGCTCGTTAGCACAGCCACTTCTACATGGATCTTTGTAAAACTTTGGTATTCAGTTTGACTCAGTAACACAGCAGAAAATTGACATAGCCAAAAGAATTAAAAGTATGCTGCTGAGTTAGAGTTATTTTAATGTGAAGTTGATGCGTGCTGGAGTAGTGTAAAGGGTAGGGTGTATCATATAGTGGGAGGGAGTAGAGGGAGGGAAAGTGCATCTTTTGGCAGAAGTAAGATCAGCTCAGTCATTTTGCACAGCTCCACCCTCAGAGAACTACCATGCCAAAGAATGTGAAGATACTTATCTTCTGCTATGGGCCAGCTCAAGATCATAGAATCATTCATGTTGGAAAAGACCTTTAAGATCGAGCTCACCCATAAACCTAACACTGCCAAGTCCACCACTAAACCGTGTCCCTGAATGCCACGTCTAACATGTCTTTAAAGTACCTCCAGGGATGGTGACTCAACCACTTCCCTGGGCAGCCTGTTCCAATGCTTGACAGCCCTTTTGGTGAAGAAATTTTTCCTTATGAGTCAGCATATCAGTAATAAATGAGGTAAGTAAGGAAAGAATAGACTTTTGAGGGGTCTTAAAATTATAACAAGTAGCTTCTTTGTCTTTTTTTGGATAGAAAAGTAAAAACTTCTGAAGAGCTAAAGAGTAAGGGTTAACCAGAGCTAAGAATTCTCTGCAGCAGTGGTCTGAAGTGGGGTCCAATAAAACAAAAAAAAAATCCCATCCAACCAACTAACCAAACAAAACCCAAACCCCAACAACCAAACAAAAACCAAAAGGCTTTGTCAATACCAACATGAGCTGTTGAGAATGAAATGTTCAGGCCATGATGTTTCTTATTTTGGGAGATCAGTTTCATTTTGTGCCATGTTTTTTCCATTTCTGCATTAATCGAAGTTCTTCAGTGCTGTTACATGAGATTTTGTGACAGGAAGATATGCAGTGCTGGATCTGAGTTTTGATTATGTGAAAGCCACATGGCTTAGTTGGTAGAATCCAGAATGTATTTATAGTTTTTTTCTCTCTTTTTTTTTTTTTTTTTTTTTTTTTTTAAGCCTATTTTAATGAAAGGGACAGACAAGCAAAAGACTATCTGAATTTGTGAAGTTATGTTATTTTGTTAAAACTTTTTTACATCTGCCACATGTGGAGTTCTGTTAGGCTTGCCTACCTTCCCTGTTGGCTTTTTTCTAATAAAGACGAGTCATGCTTCAGTAACTAAGTAAATTTTCTACTTCTTTCTAATATATTATGAATTGCCAGAAGAGGAAAAACAGGATAGCCAGTCTTTCCTTGAAGTTAATATGTCTCAATTTTTTTAACTTTTTTGCAAGATGTTTTTTGCATGAAGGTGGTTCTGAAGTTTAAAACAAGACTTCAACTGACAAGAGTTGACTGAAAAAGCTTCTGCAGTCTTCGTTCTTTCCGCGGTAGTATGGTATTAGAGGGTATTTATTTCATTACTATCTTGTTTTATTTGCAGCAGTAGTACTGTTGATATAATCAAAATCTGAGCCAGCTAACATGCTGTATTCATATTATCAATTTACTAGTGGAAACATCTGCTGTGTTCTTAATTTTCTCACAGTGTTGTTAGAGCTTACGCTGTAGTCCCCACCTTGCTTCAAATTACTTGCCTGCTGCTGAAGCTTCTGGGAAATACCTGGCTGCCCTTCATCGTGCTCTGAAGATTGCTTTCCTCAAACTTTTCTGTCCCTCTAGAAATGAGAGGTCTTTTCAGCACAGAGAGGACTATGTGAGGAGATACTGCTGTGACAGCAGTTTTTCACACACATGTAGGGTAAAATGATTTTTAGTGCGCATTTTAATCGGAGCATATAGTGAGCTGAGTTTCGGTAGAGGTTTACCTGAAGTATGTAGCCATCTGCACTTAAAAAATTAAAACTTCTAAGCATATTTCTAGTCATTTTAGAAAGTTATTGTTGCTGCTTGTTCTCCAGGGAATTGAAGTAGAACATTCTGGAGAGTGTTCCACTACTAATTACCTAAGGCAGACCAAAGCATAGAAATCAGCCCAACTGTATTATAAAAAAACCAAATTATGACTAATTTTCCTCTCCTCTTACGTTCCTTTGAAATTAGGGGCTGTGGTGTAGACTATTCGTACTGTTGTAACTGTCACAACCTGCATGTTTTTAGTGTTTCTCTTGTTCTTGTTTTTGTGGCTTATGCTATTTCAAACCTCTCAAACTGAGTTAAACCCTGGAAAAGCAAACTCTGCAGAGGAATCCTGAACTTGGGATGGATCTAGTGAGATTTTCACTGTCTCTAATTTCTTTGATAGTAGCAGAGATTTTCTGTTTTCAGTGGCTGGACTGTGGGGATTCAAAGAGGTGCACGCACATGTTCCAATTTAAGTTCAAAGTTATTGGATGTCAGTTTCACTATGCATGCTGTTATGCAGTGCAAGGTAGCTCAGCCTGCACTTGTGGCTGAGTATCCAACAACTGTCTTAGCTTATTGCTGTGACTTCAACTTGTGGAAAAGGACATTTTGGAGTGTTGTGTACAGTTCTGGTGACCTCAACATAAAAAGGGCATGGAGCTGTTGGAGCAAGTCCAGAGGAGGCCACGAGGGTGATAAGAGGACTGGAGCACCTTCCTTATGCTGACAGGCTGAGAAAGTTGGGGCTGTTCAGCCTGGAGAAGAGAAGCTGCGTGAAGACCTCAGAGCAGCCTTCCAGTATCTGAAGGGGGCCTACAAGGAGGCTGGGGAGGGACTCTTCATTAGGGACTGTAGTGGTAGGACAAAGGGTAATGGGTTTAAACTTAAACAGGGGAACTTTAGGTTAGATCTAAGGAAGAAGTTCTTCACAGTGAGGGTGGTGAGGTACTGGAATAGGTTGTCCAAGGAAGTTGTGAATGCTCCAACCCTGGAGGTGTTCAAGGCCAGGCTGGACAGAGCCTTGGGCGACATAGGTTAGTGTGTGGTGTCCCTGCCCATGGCAGGGGGGGTGGGACTAGATGATCTTAAGGTCCTTTCCCACCCTAACTATTCTATGATTCTATGATTTCACATCAAGCTGGTGATGATTGAGGTTGATGCCTCCCCAAAATCTCACTGATCCTTTGTCTGCAAAAAGTTATGATTATGTGTTATGGCAATAGCATGTCTGTACCTGTGCTAAAGTTTTGTTGTAAGCAGTGTAGTCAATACAACTGATTCCTCTTATGCTTGAGTAGGCATCTTGCAACTAATCAGGTTAATTGCTTTCAACTACATTGGCTGATAGGCAAAATCTCCATTGACTACAATGCATTTACAGGTGTACACACCTTAATTCAGGTGCTGTGTTCTTTAAATGCTGTCTTGTATTTCTGATGGTAGTCCATATAAAGGGTCTTGTCTTTGCAAATATGTTCTGGACGTATCCGGATGAGATGGCTAGTTATGTCTGCATTTTCAAATTTGTTGTTTTTTAAAGTTTTTAAACTGCAGAAGGTGATTAAAAACTCAGCTTGGTTTGTAGACAGGTGGTGAAGAAGGTGCTTTCTTTACATCTCTGATGCTTCTGATTTCTTTTGTTTTATGAAAAATATACAAATATCCTTTCAGGGTGAACAGGGAAGTAAAAAAGACTGTGGTTGCCACAAATTCAGCTGTATTACAAGGGGATTAAGGATAAATTCAGCTGTAGCTGTTCATGCTGCAGTAGGAAGCAAGTTTCTTTTACTGAAGTTAGTGTGGGGCACCACACACAAAACCTTTCTCTTTGTTGCTTTCCAGATGTCTGGTGTTTGGACTCTTCAGGCTTTTTCTAAAGACTCCATTTTATGTAATGAGGTTTTTTGTGGTTTTTTTCTTTCCTTTCCTTTTTTAGTAATGTAATACTTTCTAAGAGCTCACATCTGCAGCATAGCCTTGATATTTCATTTATTTCAAACTACAGCACTGTTCATAGTATTGTTGTAGTGTCTATCACACAGTGTCTATTTAATCCAAGATTGCACAAGAATCCTGCAGTCAAGTATCTCCCTTTGAAGACTGTCCTGCTGCAATACCACCATGTACAGAGCTTACAGTAGTTTGTGTTGCAGTAGTTCTGCCTGCAGCTCTCTGTGCCCAGCCCCACACTGTGCTGCTTGTCCCACTCTGCCGCAACTCCCAACCTTATTCCTAAAGGTGGAGCAATATTGTCTCTTCTCACCATGCTTGGTAGCCCTTTTCCATTTCCCAGCAGAATGCAAGGTCATCAGTTGGTGGTCTCAATCTTTCTTTGTGGATTTGGTTGAGTTTTTCTTGTTTTTGGGGTAGTGGACCCTGAGGAAAAAAGGGCATGATGTTCCTTGTCCCCATATACCTTGTAGTTCACTTCCCATGTCACTCAGAAGTCCTAGCCCTCTAGTTATAGTTGAGTGAGATTGTAGATGGAGATTAATATGGAGAGCAGAAAAGAGCCTTGTTTTCCCCAAATCCCACCAACCCTTTGTCTGGAGGGAAAAAAAAGTTAAGTGTTGAGGCAGTAACATGCTATCTTTTTATTTCTGTCTTTATGTTTACGTCTTGTCTTTGAATTACAAGGGGATTAAGGTTAAAGCTGTTCAGTTACAAGATGTTAGAAGTGGAGTTTCAGACACTAAATGGATTTCTTTGTCAATTGTAAATCAAACATATTGATTAAAACCTGCTTTAAAATAGAAGTCTCTCCTCTCCATGGGCTTTAGCATTTATTCTAGAGAACTCGGTATTCCTGGTTTGGTTCTAAACATAAATTGAGCCTTCTTGAGGTGAAAATGATCTGCCTCCTTTATTAACAGCTGGAGAATAGCTGTTATATTTAGAAAACTGCATGTTGAAAGCATGTGTAGATTTTTGATTTTTTTCTTGAACTGTATCTGCTAATAACCTGTTTTCTTTTGCAGAACCCTCTGATAATATGAGAGAGATTCTCCAAAATGTAGCGAAATTACAAGGTGTTTCAAATATGAGGAAACTAGGTCACTTGAATAATTTTACTAAGGTAAGAGCTTAAATGGTGTTGTAAAACACATGGTGGGTTGAGTTGCACAAATAGAGCTAAAGATTGTTTCCTGCTCCACAGAACTGAATCAAAAATGTGAAATGCCAGCTCCATGAATGTAAACTGACAGTGTGGTGAAGTTGAGGACTTTATCGATGAGCATGATATGCAGTCATTGGGGCACTATTAGAATAGTTACAGCAACTTTCACTACAGTTTCCATGTTTTTCAGTGAAAAAAGACTTAAAGGGGCGATGTCTAGTCTGTATTGTTGATTTTTGAGGTGATTTTCCAAATACATGCTTCCAAATTACAGGAATGTGACAAGTACGTGCCTGAAAGTACAGTCGATATGTTGGGAGCTGTCATTGTGAATTCACAGGAGGCAAGAGTTAAAAACCTGGTGCAGGATGAGAGTGAAGGCTGAAGAAATAGGCCAGGAAAGGCCTTCAGAAGGAGAGCAAATACCGTTTTTTTTTGTTTTGTTTTGTTTTTTTTTTTTTTTGGCTCAGTGAGGAACCTGTAGAGAGGAGATAGGTAATGAGGTAGGAAAATGGTGCGTGTTGTAGCATACTGAGTGGTTGTGGTTGGACCAGCGTTCCATTTGTCAAAGCAGGGGAAAAATGCTCGTAGTGTGCGAGCTAGGAGACATTTTTGAGCTTCAGTGTGAGTATTACCTTAATGGATGGACTGATACTCGGAAAGAACTGTACACATTTCTGACAGAGCACTACAGATGCAGCAACATGCCTGAAGATGATCCTGCAATCAGTGGTAGCCAAGCAACAAGGTAGTTGCGGAAAATTTTGTGAGTAAATTAAGGTTAAAAGCTAGTAATGAATCATTAAGTAAGGTAACCAGGAGGCTACTTGACATTTTGAGGCGGTCTCAGGCGAAAGAACAAATGCTCAGGGGTGGTTTTGGGGGACCCATTGATATGAGAAGGACAAAATGCATGATGAATTTCAAAGTAGGGATGCTTTTTGGCTGTTAAAAGCAGTCCTTGTAAGATTGAACAGCTCTTCAGTGGTATTGTTTGAGATTCAGTTAGCAGGAGGTACTGAGGACAAAATCACTAGGAAATAAATTTATCTTCTGGTGCATTATAACAAATCTGTAAATGCTCCGTTTCCTGAGCTGGTCCAGAACACATGTAAGAGCACAGCATTCATTGAGGAATTGAACTTAGTTATAGTGAAATCTCTTCTTTGGATCATTGCCTCATTCTGTCTGTCAAACATCCACAACTGACAAAATGTTGCTGTTAGTACTGTGGTTCCAAATTGTGTTACAACAAAGCCCTATACTCTGTTAGAAAAGGCCGATGCATAACTGTTTCGTTTTTGTGCTAATCTGAAAACTTTTAAATGAGTCCTTCCAAATTCTGTAGTTGCCTTGAAATTAAAGAGCTGGATTAGATTTGCAGATTCATGATGCCCAGTGAAAAGGCAGTATTCAAAACTATGGATCTTAAAACAGTGTTGATTTTTAGTACTGAAAACTCAGATGCTAAGCACCCTTAAATGTGGTAAAGTTGTAAAGATGCATATTGTAATTAGAGCATGAATCAAAAACTCTTAATAGTTTTGAAAAATTGAATTATTTGATAATTGAATATTTGAAGAATTTGTTTTTTATATTTAACCTGGTGTTAAAAACAGAAAATACTTAAAAAAACACAAGGAAGATTTTCATAAATTGGACTTAAGACTGGCAAAAAAGTATGAATTTGTGAAAAACAACTTGCTAAAATAAAATACTATTTTTGAAGACAAACTAATTCATATACTGGTTTTGATCGTGAATCCGAGTGACCCTGTGTAAGAATGATCCTATTCTATTTAATGTTGAGTGCTTGTTCTTACAGTCACCTCCCTGGAATATCTGTGTTATAAATGTGTAACATGTACATTTGGTTTTGAAAACTCTGTATTTTTGTTTGAACTGCAGATACAGTTATGAAAACAGATAAAGGTTGCAGATTGTACTGTATATCTGCCTTGTGGTTGGAACAATTCTGTGTTTTTCATTCCAGTGGTTAAGAGTGAAAGCCTGGAGCTTGGGGGAGATAGTTTTATTTCCTTTTTGCACTCTGGCCTTCTACCATGAATTGAAATAGTCTCAGTTCCCCCTTTGTGAGATACAAGTATGGGGAAGATAGATGTGCTGAGACTTGAGATCCTTGTATCCTATCTTGGAATTACATTGAAGATAAAATTGATTTATTTGTAAATTCATGCATTTTGTGATCCATTTTTGAAAGGCTACTAGTCGTCTAGGATATTTGTCCTGTAGACAGGAAAGGACCTTTCAAAAATTTTAAATAGTGTATTTTTGATAAGGTAATACAGAAAATTGATAAAATTTGATTTGGAAGGGACCTTAAAGCTCATGTAGTTGCAGCCCCCCTGCCACAGGCAGAAACACCTTCGACTAGACCACGTTGCTCCAAGCCCTGTTCAACCTGGCCTTGAACCCTGCCAGGGATGGGGCAGCCACAGCTTCTCTGGGCAAATCACCCTTAAGAAATTACTGAACTAGATTCCAGGATTTTATGCAGGAGTTAAATACTTTACATAAAATTTATTAAAATAATAATGATCAGCAGTCAACAGGATTTGTTACTTTATCTTCAAGAATGTTACAATATCTTCAAGAATGATACAATTTTGTTTGAAGCTTGCATTCCTAATTGGCATAACTCCCTTTTCGTTTGTCTTTCCCTTCAAGAAAAGCATTAACAAGTAATGGTCAAGTCCACACAGCACCCATACTTACTGTGCAAAGTAAGCTTAACATGATGTTTTACAAAAACTTGCATGTCGTTCATTAACTTTTACCTAATGCTTCTTAATAAAAACTTTACTGCTCACGTTCTTGGCACTTTGGCTGCAGATCATGGGTTGTTCTTACTCATCAGGCACTGTAAGGTTTCTGCTCCAAGAAATCATAATTCCCAGTCTTGTGGTAACTCAGGTGATGGGAAGGTATGTTTAGTGTTGAGCAGTGAAAAACTTAGGAATTTTTCTCCTTACCTGGTGCTCATCACCTAAATAAGTGAAGCTGCAGTTTGTGGGCAAAATTACCGCCTAACCTGTTAGACAAAAATAATCTTATTCATTTCAAACCACCTCTATCACTGTTTAAGCTAACCCAAATTCTGACATGAAAACTGTTTGAGGATTTGACCTCCAGCAAATGGTCAGTGACACCTTCAGTTGTCACACCAGTTCACAAGCTCGGTATGTGCCTTTGGCTTCAGTAAGCTGAGTAGGATTACCCATCTTTCATTTATATGGCCAGCTATATAAGGTGAGCACCTTGAAGTTTCCCAACTTCTGCTGATTAATACCAAGACATCATGGTTACTTCTTTGGGGTTTTCCCCGCCCCCATGAGAAGTAGTAAGTGATAAATTACTGAAAACCAGAAAGAACCGTACAATCATTTTTACCTAGTGGAAAATATATTTTGAAGTATTTATTTAGAATCCTTTATTACAGGTTTATCCTATTGTTAGCTTCTGAGAGATCCTCTATACCTTTCTTAAAACTGAAAGTGTATTTAAATAACAGAAAAAAAAAATCCACAGGTGGTGTTTATAGGGATTTCTATTTTTCATTCAAAAAGGAAGGTGCTCTTTAAGGACAAAATGAACCTTAACTGGTTTTAGCTTAAGCTTAGCAATTGACTAGGCAGTGTGATACGGCAAATAATATTTTCAATCTTCTCAAAACTAATTCATCATTGTTTAATGAGGCTCTACTGTTCTGCTCTGTATATCTGTTAGCTTTTAACCATGCTGCTAAATTTCACTATATAGATAGAGATAGAGTTTGGGACTATAGAGGCTTTCATGGATTCTGTCTCACTCCAATTCATAGTCTGTCATTTTAGAATCCCATTTGTCCTTTGCAAAGTCCAGTTATCTTAAATCTGAATGTAGTACTGACTGACTTTGACATTCATCCATGTAGCTAAACCACAATGGGCAAAACTTGAAATCTCAAGGTGAATCATGTAGCAGATACAAACACATCATCTGCTTTAGGGGCATTCAGCTGTGGAACAAAACTTGAGAGTTAATGGGTATAAATCCAGAGTCCACGATTTGAGTAGAGGCTTCTCTTCAAACTGGAATCTACTAAATACTCTCCTCATAAATATTATCAGTGATAGTCCAAACTGTATTTTCAAAATTACAGTGTAATAATTAGATTTGGATGCACAGAAGAGTATCCTACTTTTACCTACTAATTGCTGTGACTATTCTGTTGAATATAGATTTGAATTGTCTCGGTGTGCACTTAGCTTGTGTATGCTGTTGACCTCCTGTGGTTTTGTTGTTTTGAGCTACTGTTTCCAAGACATGTTGATGTGTTACTCATATTGCTATGACTCATCCAAGTAGCATGAAAAGTTCATAGCTGACAGTAAACATGAAAAAACCCCTTCACTGTGAGTTAGTCACTGTCTGGCCTAGTGTAAGTACAATTTTGTCCTAATATTAAATCATACTCCCAAAAAGTCAGTGCTATTCCCATATATTTACTATTGTATCAAACACTTTCAATTTTAGACCTGACTTATTGGAAGTTTTAACAAGCAAAGTATTTTATGTGTGTATATATAGAAATAAGTAATGTTGTGTATATATAAAAATATATACCTTTTGCATGATGTATGAAAAAATATAAACATATTTGCATAATTCCAGGCATTTACATGATACGATAATCTACTGCAATTTTTGTGAAATACAGCAATGTATAGCTAAATGCAGATTTTAATATTCTGGTACTGCTTGACTACAAACTTAGACTACAATGACATGCACGTTAATTTTTTTAATGTTACAGCCAAACATATGACAGTTACTTGGATTTGTCAGGAATTCAGCCATCTACAAAAGTTGCTGCATTTGGGCCAATCATTGACCTGCTTAATGTTGTTTGAATTTTGAATGTTTTCCCTATGGTATGTGAAAACCAGACATTTATAACTGAAAAAAACCCCAAAGCGTTGAGGGTATCCAAAGCTGAACAGTATCTTCTTTATAGCAGCTTCATGACTTTTTTCCCCCTCCTTTAAACATATATCAACCCAACCTTACATTTTTTTTTTTCCCTTTTTTTTTTTTTTTCACTTGGACTAAAGGAACCCAATGTCTTAGGCTTCATGGGTGTATTAGATACATTTTCTAGCTGCCTTGTGCATTCTTCTGCTCTACTTTTTCCAGATTGTCTGCTCTTAAAATGTCGCACCCAAAATTTTGCAGTTTTGAGAGCAGCCTGCAAAATGGTGAAAAAAGTCTCTTAATCTCAAACATAATCATAGAATGGTTTGGGTTGGAAAAGGATTTAAGATCATCTGGTTCCAACCCCCCTGCCGTGAGCAGGGACACCTCTCACTAAACCATGTCACCCAAGGCTCTCTCCAGCCTGGCCTTGAACACTGCCAGTGATGGAGCATTCACAACTTCCTTGGGCAACCCATTCCAGTGCCTCACCCCCCTCACTGTGAAGAACTTCTTCCTTGTATCTAATCTAAACTTCCCCGGTTTAAGTTGGAAGCCATCTCCCCTGGTCCTATCACTACAGTCCCTAAGGAAGAGTCCCTCCCCAGCATCCTTACAGGCCTATAAGTATTTCCAAGGGTAAAAATTACTTTTTTTTTTTCCTTGTGTGTGTGAAATTGCATCACATTAATTCATTTACTTTATAGTTTGCAGTAACGTAGAAATTGTGCTTTCCTTTTGAACTTTGTTTTTGTATTTAACATTCTGAATGTTTTCAGGACATCTTTTCTTTCTCTGTTGGACTCGTTTCAGTTTGTGTCTTATGTGTGATACCCTGAAGGATCTGTTCCTTTTATTTAATTGAAGGTTCTTACTGAGTTTGGGCACTCCTTTCAAATTACTGAAACATTTTGAATTCTGATCTGGCTGTTTGTCTTTTAAAGCCTTTTCTAGCTGGAAGTCCTGCAATCACACTACTGTGTTTAAATTGCAAAGAAAGCTAATACATAAGTAATCATGGTCCATTGGAATGGGAGTAAACTAACAGCTAAAGAAGCTAATCTTATACTTACTTTTTTTTTTTTTGACAATTTTATTCATTCTCTGAAATATTTCACATGTATTCATAGGCAGCATCAAACACTTTGATAATAATTATCGTCACATTTAGATATCGCTATCCACAAAGCAGTTAAACTTAATGAAAGTTGTAACTGTCATCGGGTTACATGATCATGTTTGAGTTTCAAGATAAGGTTAAGTTGTCGAGTTTCTTTCTGTGTCAGTGGGGATGTGCGCAGTGGGAGCATACATAGAAGAAAACAGTTGGTATTGAGGAGCTAATAACCTCGTTATATGTATTTGGTAACTGGTTACTGAGAACTAGACTAGAGATGGTCCAGTGGACTGAATGCTCATTATCAGCAAGTTAGGTGGGTTCTTGGAACACATCTGCTTTATTTTCAGGACCACTCAAGATGAAAACCAGTGGTGAGTGCAGTGATGGGAGACTTGCTTCAGGAATGCAGTAGTGCACACAGTAGCAGCTTTCTCAAAAATGCTTTTTCTTACATCAGAATTGTGATTCTGTAGGGCTTTTTAGAGTAGGAAAGAAACACTGTTGAGCATAATGTGGTATGTTAAATGAGGATTTCTCCTTTGTGCTGGGGTGGAATGATGAGCAGAGGTTTAGATGTATAAATGATTAGCCTAAACAGCTCTTGATGTACTTGTCTGAAACTGAACAATGAACTGTTTTTACCCGCTATCTTCTCACACTGTTTTGCTTGCACTCTGCCAGCCAATTTTTACAGTTCATAAGATGCCAATAGAAATGCTAAAGCAGCAGTGGTGGCCTTAGGCAGTCCAACAACATGGCATAAAAATAGATTGATGCTAGGAAGTGACATACTGTCATAACCAGTTAATGCACCAATTGTCTTATTTTATTATCAATTAAATTTGAATGGTGGTGGAAAAGAAATTATATAACTTGCCTTATGTTTTATAATCATCTTTGGTTATAGCCACTGTTAAGAAAAATGCAGAATCCAAAATACTTCGATTAACAGAGATTATTTGAACCCAGACGTGGAGCTGATCCAGGCAAATTTAATAATCTAACAGCTTTGGATTTCAGCATTATCACTGCATTTTTCTCACAGTACAAAAAGTCATATCTTAAAATGTAATGTGATCCTTGGAATAGTTTGTACTTGTCGAACATAACCTACGTATTGTTTGAATTTAAACCATCATGCTAATAAAATGGATTCAATTAAAAGCAGAGTCTCTGCAATATACTGGATTTTCAGATGAATGTGAAGAGTAGAATGGGAGCATGGAACATGTTTAATATTTGAACTTACAGTAGCCTTACTTTAACTGTTTAGCTTAATTTTTTTCTTTAGCAGTAAATACAAAGAATGTGGCACAAGTTTTGATATATTCTAATGTATTCTAATATTTTCACTAGTTAGCACAAACACTTCCTGAGTTCCTCACTGAGGAGAAGCTGTTAATACTGTGCTGGCTTAGAACTGAACACGTGCCTGTTCTGAAGAGAGAGGACAAAGTGCAAAGCTATTGCAATCAGTACTAGTCACTTGAGTTTTCGGAAGTGCTTGGAAAAGTGCTTTGGGATTTGGATGTGATAATCAAGTATTTTAGCATTTTAGCTAGGGGTAGTAAGAGATTTAGTTGGGTTTTTTTTTCTGCTCTTGTGAAGGAGAACAGCATCAGCTCTTACAGGAGAGACTGTTTTCTTTCCTTAGGAGGTTAAAACACTGGCATACACTAGGTTCCTCCTTTGAGATTGGTTTTGAATGTAAAAGCTGCACTTGTAAATTTTAAGTGTTGTGTTCAGAATGGATAGATACAGTTGATATGTTCAGAATTTGCAACAGTTTATAGGTGTCTTCTTGTGTTCATGAATTCAACCTTTGTACTGGTGTTTTTCAGAGGTACAAGTTCTATGGAATCAATGGCAGGCCAGACCGAATGTCTGTTAAAGAACACTTATCATTGGCAATGAATTCTGATTTATTTTTTTCCTTACACCTCTGCTGCTGTGGCCAAACGTAATAGTAGACCAGCAGTGTCAATCTTTGTTTCAGAACTCTCACGTGAGAGTTCACTGTTTTTGAATGCAGATGTGACTTCAGTCTCTCTCATCTCTGCTCAGGTTACCAATTACCAAACTAGCTATTTGGAGTTCAAAAACAGACCAGTAGGCATCTTACACAACTGTACAAGCTTTTTGCTAGTATGAGAGGCCACGAATTTGTGTGTGAATGATGTATATAGGAACAGAAAAGTGACAGCAGAAATTCTCAGGAAAGTCTGAAGCTGGTACACTTCTCCTTGCCATGAATGAAATTCCTCAGGTTTCTTTGAATGCATTGCCAGATATCTACAGTTTTACATAATAATTTTTAAAGAAATCATTTTTAAAGACTTACAAATAATACATGTTTTGTGTTCTGTTATTTTCTTTTTTATTTTCAGCTACTTTGTAATATTGGCCATGCTGAAGAAAAGCTAGGGTTTACGTATGACAGCATCATAATATGGTAAGTAGTAAGTAGCACTAGATCAATATTAGGGTTCTTTAATTGTTCTAAGTGGAATTAAATAAACTTTATTTCTGAGCTAGTATTTTGTTTCCCTAATGAGTTTAAAATTCCTAATTCAAACATATACCATACGAATGTTCTGAGTAAAATCAGAAATAGGTTATTCACTTTCAGGCATTTCTTTCTTATATTCCCCTTCTAAATATCTCAGGACTTGCAGAAAGCACTTTTAGTGAAAATGTGCACCTACAGAATTTAGAGCATACTCTTGATGTAGCATGAGGATTTAAGGATAAACATTTATGTTAATTGTGCTTGTGTATATGTGTCTGTAACATTGCTTTTCCTGCTACTAAATTGCCCTGTGTATGTACTTCCAAGTGGAATTTTCCTATATTTTGTTGCCATTTCTGACAGTCAAAAGTAACTGTATGCTTATTTCCAGAATTTCTGTGGGTTTACACAAACATTAGTAAATTTGTTCTGAGACTCAGCATAGGTGGCAGAAACAACTAAGATCTAGTATTTAATATGATTTTTGTCTTCTTCCAATTTAGTTATGAGACTTAGAAAAGCTAGTCATTCTTCAAGTAAAATGTTGGAAATACTTGTGTAACTTCTTGTGGAAATATTGTAAGTTCTTTTCTAAATAGAATTGTTTTTTCTTGCTAGAACTACAGAAATTAAAAAATGTTAGTGTATTTTTGTAAATGCATATTTTGCTGTAAGCTTTAGTAAGTTCTCTTCTGATCTTATTTATGTAATCTATTATGGTGCTTTATGATGGGACTTAACATCACTGGAGAGTATAACTTCAAAATTCAGAGTTCTTTGGCAAATATTTTTAAATACAAGCCTTAAAAGGTTATGCAAATACTAGTGTTTGTTTTTATAGGCAGGAGTTTGCAGAAAGATCTGCTAATCCAAACACAATTACAGATATTGATGTTTTCAGCAGACATATGAAGAAAAATAGCCTTCTACTTAGAAAAATGCCAAAAATGGATTCTCAATTAAAAAAAAAAAAAAAAAGAAACCAACCAAAAAACCCCCAAACCCGAAAAACCCCAAAGGCCAACCAAACACAACCCAAAACAAACAAACAAACTCTAAAAACATATATCAGGAAGGTTACCTTGGTTAGTGTTATTTTGGTCAGTCCAGTGGGTCCTCTGTGTATGTACATGAGAAGCAAATTTTTAATGTAGGTTTATGCAGGTTATTGTGCTATAGTGTTAATTTTCAAACTCAAGGGTTCCACTCGGATACTGACATTTTAACAACCATAGTCATGCTGATTTGTGGTTCTTTGGATATATTTATAGGATGGGTTGTTTTCATGGAATAGTGACTTTTCAGGCAAACTTAAAAATGCTGCTCGAGTTACAGCCATTCTGTGGTAGTATTCTGTTTGCAGATTATTTTGCTATATAGCAAAATATAGAATCATAGAATAGTTCGGGTTGGAAAGAACCTTAAGATCATCTAGTTCCAACCCCCCTGCCATGAGCAGGGACACCACACACTAAACTACGTTGCCCAAGGCTCTGTCCAGCCTGGCCTTGAACACCGCTGGGGTTGTGAATATGCAGTTATTTTGAGTAACTTGCAAACATCTGGAGTTTTTAGTAGATTTTGGAAGCTATCTTCTGGTAGGCTAAGTACATACAATTATTTGGAAATAATTTGCTCTACTGATGTTTCCAACATTATCTTGGATTTCCATAGGAAAACATTTTTGTTCTACAGAACAAACTTGGTTTTCTTTGAAAATGTGGAAAGTTATTTGGATGCAAGAAGTACCTTGTGAGTTTTCTGTGTTTGTGAGGTATAAATGGCTAGCCTGCGAGCATTAAACTAGAAGGGAATTATGATTTCAAGAATATTTATAGATTTCCTATAAAGTTCTAGGGTTTGGGGTCAGTAACCTTGGTAGACTATTTACCCAAACTGAAGACAGTCGCGGTCTGCAATAATTGCAATTACCCTCCAGTTAGAAATCTGTTTCTACTCATTCTCTTTTTAGAATTTTGTTAGGCGCCTAATTTTAGTTTCTTCCTACCAGCAGATGGAGATAATAGTGACACCTTTTGTTGTCATTCCCAGTGTAGATGGGTCTTCCCGGTTCCCAGAGCACCATACCATTGACAGATGAGAGGAAGCCTTGAGCCATGAAGAAAATGGAGTGTTGGTAGGCCTCAGAAACTTTTGAGGTCTTTTAGAAATGTGCCAAGAGGCTTTGGCCATGAAAGCAAAATTCAGAATATTCACAATTACCTGACTGGATCAAACAGAGATTTGTCAAAACCATGGTTATCTCTGTGTAGTGAGTAAATGAGGTGCTTTAGAAGAAGGTGCAGGAGTGATACTATAATGGGTATTGAATATCCTTTCTTATTCCATTCTTTATTAGCTCTTCCAGGCTTTTTATCACTCTCTATGTTTATCACCTTTAATTCTGTCTTAAGTTATTTTCATTTCTGCAGTGACATTTAAAATACTAGAGTAAGTAGTATTGTGCTTAGTTTTTCTCTTACACAATCATGATGTCTTTTTGGCACTTTCAGGCAAATAGGTGCATGTGGGATGTGCATATCAATTTGCTTGTTCTGATGGCTATTTTAGAGCCATACAGTATGGGTTTATAACACAATTTCTGCCTTGATGTGTCTGAAGTCACATATAACAATCTTGAATTTTCTTCACCATCTTGTTAGCTATGCATACAGATGATTTTTAAGTTCCCTTGGAGTTTTTATCACCCCATCCTATTCTTATTAATATAAACAATATTGTCATGTGTATTTCTGCACACCCATCCACTCTGCTTCTTCCAAATCAATTATTATACACTAAATACTGTCTACAAAAAGAGATTGTGAACCTGGATAAAAATGGGGACAAAGACTTGTCGGGGCAAAAATCTTCCACTCGCCTCTGCTCTTCCATTATTTTTTCAGATTTTGATTTGCGAAACTACTTTTCATCTTTCTATAATCTCTTTATATCCCTTAGTATTAATCTTCAGCAACATCTTTTATACATTATTGTAATAACTCCTTTCAAGTCTTTTTAAAGATTAGTAGAATATAGCTTGTGTAAACTGTACTGGGTGCTTCACATGGCTAACCAGTTTTATTTTGAGGTGATTTAAGATCATTAACTGTCCTCTGGATGCCTTTCAGAATCGTTTTCGTATAGACCTGTTTATTGCCATTTCTCTGTTGTGGACACAACTGTTTATAATATGGTGCTAGCAAATACATGCAGATAGTTCATGCTGATGTTCTTTCCAAAACTTAGATGTGAAGCTTGGTGGGCTGCTGACAGTACTTACTGGCAGATTTCCTCCAGTTCTTCCATTATTTTTACTTCTTAATCTCACATGTTGTATAATAAAAAAGGCTTTAGGATAGGAGTCTTCATGCAGATTTCTAAAGCAATGAGCTAGTATGAAGAAAATGCTTGTATCAGTCATACCTCTGTTGGTCTCTCACTTGCTTCATTCCTTCTCCTTTTTCTTTTGGGTTATCCAGTGAATCTGATTTAACTTTTCAGGTTTTCTCCTTGTGGCACACCTGAGAAGTCAGAACATGTAGACACAGCCAAGCACACATAGGTTTTCTTACATGTGTTTTTTTCTGCTTGCTCTAGCATGTCTTTGTTGTCTTTATGAGGTCAGGTTTCTTTCAAGTTTTTATAGTTCAGTCATTAACTGGTGAGGGTTTTCTTTTTTTTTTTTTTTTTCTTTTTTTTTTTTGTTTTTGTTGTTCTTGCTGTTGGTTTTGTTTTTAATGGAGAGATTTTATTTTTTTTTTCACCCTTGTACACTTTCATATGTCACTGCTTTCATGGGACCCTTATGGATATTATAGCCTTTATTTTGGGTCTGTTGGCTTTCTGGCTAGCTATATGTTTTCATTGCATTTTCACTGTTTAAGGATAGTGACACATCCCTTTTTGACACCTTCTGCTTTTGGATTTTGAATCTGGTGATACTTTTGTTCTTTGTAGTGGTTTCACTGTTGCAAATTCTTAAATTAACTTCTGTCTACAAATTAAGAACATCCTTCTCTTGTGAGATGTAGAACAAGCTTTCAAAGCATTGATTACATTTGAGAAACTGTTTGTCTAAAGATTGGTTTGGTCTGCTGTTCAAAAAATGTTTCCTCTCAAATACGAAAGAACTTGGGGAGAGGGTGGGAGGGAATTGGGGGAGTGTGGTGGAAAATGCAGATGTGGTATATCCTAATAAGAAATGTCATGGATAGCAACAAAAGCGTTCCCATGACTAATGGTCACTTCTGCCCTAAAAGGAAACTCTACTGAAGTGTCATAAACTGGCATATCCAAAGCAATTGTAAAGTGTGAGGTGAAAGTCCAAATAGAAAAATATCACTGAGTAGGTCTGAGTCTTATGTGCTCATTCCTCAGACTTCCATCTCTGCAAAGCTGCGAAACTAGAAACAATTTTTTATCCATGATCTAAAGAATACCTGTTATCAGGTCAGCACAATTGAAGAGTTACTTGTCTGCTTTTCTTGAATAACTTTGGAAGTAAATCTTTTTCTCTTTTTTTACAGCTTTTTTTAGAGGAAGAATTTTTCTTAACCTCACAGTATTGAGAATCTGTTTCTAATTTGCTTCTAGCTCAGCTTAAGTAAACAGAGGCAGTTAGTGGCACTCTTTTTTATGTAAGAATCATACTTGATATGACAGCAACAGGAATTTTCCTGAATTTCCTACACTGCGCTGAAAGTAATAATCAGTTCATCTTTATTTGCATCTAGTATTGCAGCCTTTCTACTCTGTCTAGATACCACCTGAAAGTAGGTTCCTGTTACAGAAATTTTTCAACAGGCCAGTTCTTCTCTGGAAATGCTCAAAAAATTTTTGGCATTGGAGTAGCTGATTACCATGCACGATGATCCTAGAATAAGAAAGGAAAAAAAAAAATTAAGCCATTTGTATATCACATGCTGATGTATTTACACTCTTAGATGTCCACTGAAGGAATCCTACTAAAATACGTTAATGGGAGGCTGAGGTATTTCCCGTGCCTTGTGTAGTCAAGGAAAAGAGGTGAATTTCTGAGGGCCTTCAAAAGGACAATGTGTCATTTAATACTTTCAAACTCTTACCTCAGAAGGCCTTCAGTATCTTGTTTCCTTTTACGTAGATAGTGAATTTAGGAAATTACATTATGATGGCAGTTTTGATGACAGTTCTGTTTAGGAAAGCTTACTTTAGAGCAGGCAAAATGCTTTTAAAATCTGTATAAAGAGAAATAATATTTTGGTTACATGTTAAAATGAAATATGTAGGAATCTGTGCTGTGTGGGACTGCTTAAGTTATGACTCTGTCATATTTCATGCAAAAATAACATGGTGCCATAACATCTGTAGTGAGTGGTGCATATAATTACTTAAGGTGCAAATTTGTCTCTCTTAGGTGTCAAAACATTGTTTTGAGGACCCATGCGTATGGGTTGGCAGTCTAGCAGAGGAGGAGATGTGCTTTACCTGTTAATTTTCTTGGACTAATATTGTGCTCAGCTGTTTTGTTAAATAACAAGTTGTATACAGGTCTTGGTCATGTATTATTTCATGGACGTACAAGCTCTTCTCTGGGGAGTGAGGGGGCTGGAATTTGGTTTGTGGCTTGTTCAGATTGGTACATCTACATCTGCTGGCAGGGTAAGGGTTTGCCTTCCAGTCTGTACAGGTAAGTATCTCACAGTCAGAAAGTTAATGCAGAACACTTCTTTTTTTTTTTTTTTTTTTTTTTTTTAGAAAGCAGACTTTTTATTTAAAATAAGTAGATAGTAGCTGCGTATGGTGAAGTCAACTTGCTGCTAAGTAGTTGTTTGTCCCCCTTGTTTTCTTCACTGTAGTCTGAGGTTAGCTTTACTGAATGAAGCAAAAGAGGTGCGAGCAGCAGGATTGCGAGCTCTCCGCTATCTAATTCGAGACTCCAGTATTCTGCAGAAGGTCCTGAAGTTGAAAGTGGATTACTTGATAGCCAGGTAATTTTTCTCTTTTTGCTGTTGTAAATTGTGGTATTGTAAATCGCTTGCTATTTCATGGTTGAGACAGGCTTTTTAATATCCTCTTACGTTCTTGATTTGTAGTTTTATAAAAGCCATTTTTCTTCAATGTGAATAACATCCTTTAAAAATAGAAGGATAATATATTACACAAGGTAGTACAAATGAAATTCTGTCCTAATATATGATATACTATGGGTAATACAAATTTCGGTTTTCAGTCATAATTGCTATAAATCATAAATTAATCTGTGGTGTTCTTAGAAGGTTGAAACCTGATGAAAATCAATAATTTTCATGTCATTAAGTTGTTTTATAGTTGTGATTCTTTGTTTTATCATCAGGCTTTCGAGCCTCTAGTACAATAATAGTTCATGCTGAAGAATTTGTATTTTAAGTATAACCCATGACTCAACAGAAGAGTAGCAACAGGCACACTAACGATGAGACGATAAGATCAGCATGATAAGTAGATGTAAATGTTAGCATTTCTATTGCTGCCTTAATTAAAATCTTCTTGGTTTTAATATACTGATATAGATGTGTATATTTCTTCTTATAAATATACATAGTCAGTTTTTGTGTGCTGTTTCATCTTGTTGGAGCAAAAGGACTTTTCTGATCTTAGAATGCACACAAAATGTTGATGTGAAACATTACAAATACTTTTAGTCTCATTTGAAATTACAAATGTCATTATGCCTTGCAATAGTATATTTGAGAACATTCTAGTGATTTAATTTCAGTGAAGAAAACTGACGGAATATAAACCAAAGCTAATTGACCAATCGTAATATACTTGCTGAAAGGCAGAATTTTTTGAAGTCATAATACTCCTTCTCTGTTTATTCAATTTCATAAATATTAACACAAATTATTAACAGTTAAGGTGAAAGTTAATGTTGTTATAAACAAAATGTGTTTTTTTTTTAACTTGTTTTAGGTGCATTGACATACAGCAGAGTAATGAAGTTGAAAGAACACAAGCACTTCGATTAGTCAGAAAGGTAAAACCTAATATATGGTCTTACCAGCTATGCCTGTCAGTCATACTGACTCCTGGTTTTCTTCATCAGCAGTTTTTTTCACACAGTCTCTAATACTGTACTTTGATTTGAGAAGAAATTATAGCTGATATTTCAAAAGAGAGAAGGAAGGATAGCACTGAGACTTGCTTTGATTTTAATCTCTCACCACTGAGGATCTTGAGTGGGCTAGAAAAATCCTGCTAATTTTCCTTTGATAGAGATCAAACTGGACAAGATTTGGGAAAAACTTCTCAAATACTGAATGCAAGGGTATAAGAACCATATATTAAGTTTCATCTAATGACTTAAATTTGTTATAAAGTGCATTTTAAGGATCTGTGAATCAAGGATGGGAGATTTTCTGCCATTTGAGAAATGAGACAAATTGCTAATGCTGGAATAATCAGTCAAAGGAATGTTTCTAGCCTTATTGCTTTATCCATACAGGTTCATGCTGTTCACAGTTCTTAGATACACAATAGGATGTAGGTAGTCTGTGGTGGTTACTCTATGGTGTACCCACAGATTTGAGATGCTTGAAGCTGGTAGCTACATTTGCAAGTTTATTTTAGAGAAATTGGCATATACAGCTGTGGAAGGTATTCTGCCTTTATACTGGACTTATTTATTCTTTATTGTGGTTATAGTCTTCTGCTGAGCATCTTAGCAAAAACTACCTCAAGTAAAGTTTGAAGTAGTTGGAACAGTGGTTACCCAGGAGCACTTTGTGTTTGATCTGGTTTGTGTGTATATGTGGTTTTTTACATATATATTTGAGATTATGGAAGTGTGATGTGCAGTTTCTTCTCTTACAGTAAGCTTACTTGGTTTCTCTCTTGTAGAAGAGATAAAATATGCTTGATTAACTGTTGCACTAAAGAGATTTAAAGCTGCAACACCACCCCCTTCCCTCCAAACTCAAATAAACAAAAATCATAACAATAAAGGAATGGATCCTTGAGAAAGTCACAATTTATAAAAGTTCTTTGCTAATCTGCTTTAAAAAGAGAGCTTCAGTGTGGAGCCTGAATAACTTACATCAGAAGAGGAATGGAAACAGATTTATAATTGGTTTTATTTGGGTCAGAAACATGTCCTCATTTTTCCTGGGCTTTTTTGAACATTTCTTAGTTGATCAAAGACTTCTGTCTTGCTTAAAAGAAACGAGATACAGCAAGAAAAGTAACTCCATTAGTTTGATATGAAAAAATGATCCTGAAAGAAAAGCATCTAAAAAATCATAGAGCTGACCACCAGTTCTGCTTTTTCCTCCATCATTGTAGAAGGATGCTGTGCATGGGATGTATGTTCTTTGATGCTGAGAACTATGTTGATGAAAGATTTCCCAACCCCTTTTGCTACCTAGAACATCCTTTTTTTTCTTAAAAGACACTGTCAGACAAACAAAAAGACAACCCACCTGTCTACCAGTAAAATTAACAACTTTTTTGTGTCCAATCTGGGTTAAGCATGCATTGGCATAGGGCAGTCAGTACTTGAGAAAGCTTGCTCTCACAGGGAATGCTGTGACACACATCCTGAATGGCACATTCCATATTTTCACACTTTCTTTTTGTTATCCTGCTCTTGACCTTTTCCCATCTCTCCATCACCCTCAATATCTCACACTCAGTGGCTTGATATCAGGATTCCTAACAGCTTATACAAAGGTCTAGAAGAGGACAGCGCATGGCAGATAAAACAGAGTTACTTCATTTATTCAGGAGATGATTTATTGTGAGCCATGGAAGAGCTGACCTGCGTTCCATCAGCATCACAGAACTATTTTCAGTTTCAAATTTTGGATGTGATTCTTTAACCTTATTCTTTGATAGAAAAAATGCTTACATAAGAATAGATACAAAACTTCAGAATTAAAATATTCTCTCACTTTCTTTTCATAGAATAGAAAAAGATTCAAAATATAAAATGTCCTGTTTAATGAATTTATAAAATGCACTTAATAAATCTGTTAAAAGAAAAATAAAGTGCAGGTTAAAGTAGTATAGGAAGAGAAAAATAAAGCTTCAAACTTTTAGCCTCTGATTTTTTTATTTTTTTTTTAAGGTTTTTAGTGCTTACTATCTCTTGACTGTAGTCACATCTATATTTCCTGATAGGAGCTTTGCAATTTAGCAATGTCTTCAGCCATGAAAAGAAGGGCATAAAGTTGCTTCAGAAACTGTTTCTCCATCTAATAGGAGTCACTAAGAGCATTTTTTTTGTTAAATAATTTAATAGGCAGGAGGATGTTTTTATTTTCAAAGCAGAACTCGGGGTTAGGTGCAATATGAGCCACCTTCTTTCTTCCTCTTTTTTAAAGGAATCTTTAAACACCAAAGACATAGTCTTTGTTACTTATTTCATCATAGCTGCCTGTAAGTAGTCTTGAATCACCTGTCCTTGGTCTTTAGAACTTCATTTCAATACATAGAGTAGAATGAAAGCAAATGTGAAAGCTTGTATTTATTATACTAATGTAGATTGGTGTGCTTATTCTACTGGTAATTCTTTTTACTTCATGGCATTGTAAAAGTGAAAGACTGTGTGGGTGGGGAAAAGTTTGTTTTTTCTTTAGAGTCCTATCTTAAAGCTTCCTGTTTTGTGGGTGACAACAAAATATATGACAAGAAGTTTCTCAAAAACACATTTTAAAAATTAACTTGTTAAAGTGTTCCAGTGTATTTGTCAAAATGGTTGATCTCTTCTCATTTTAACATACTCTGCAAAGAAGGCAAAACAATTGTCTTTATCTGAACAAATATCTGTAAGACATCCAAGGGAGCTGTAAAGTGGATATAGGACAAAACAATTTTGGAAAAATAGTAAAGATAAGCTTGCTTTTGTTGGAAACAAAAGGGGTATCAAACAAAACCTTTGGAACCTAGCTTTAAGTATTTAGATGTTTGAATGATTATTTTTTTATTTTTTTTTTTTACATGACACTTTCATTTATTAGTAGAAAAAAAAAAGTGACATGGTTTAGCGGGCTATAACACGTTACATTGTTCCCTTTTTAAGCACAAAACCTACTTCCTCTTTAGTAATACATCTGTTTAGTGATGTTCATGTTCCAGAGGATATGTATGTTAGATTTTTGCAAACTATGGAAAAAATGTGAACAGTTACTCAGCCTTTGCAGTCAAAGCCTCATTTGGGGGAGGGCAAGGAGTTGGTGGTATTAGTTGGTTGCTCTGGTGCAGGGATTTTTTGCCTTTAATGTGTGCACAGGGTTTTGCTCCTGAATCTGGTGTAAATTCTGATCATCCTAAACTTGTCAGCTGAGGATTTCCATAATGCAGGACCCTTCAGTAGAGTAAAGGAGCACTGACTATTAAATACGTTGTTCTGTTTTGTCTCAAATTTATTGCCTTTTTTTTTTAATTGAAGAATTAATTGATTTAATTGGACACAGGTCTTGTTCTCATCTTTGCTTTCAGTTTAATGTGTTTAAAATGCGTGTGTGTTTTTTGTGCCATAGTTATGTAACTTGCGATGAAGTTGAATTACACTGCAATTCTACGAGAATCAGGGACTATACAAGAGGATTGTAGGGGTGTTACTGACAGTAGTTTTCCAAATACTATAGCAGCTTCTTCTGTTGGCGGTCCTTTTTTGTAGTCTGCAGCAATCTAAGGATCCCTGTATGAAACAGGAGATTTTAGTCTTGGCTAATGAAACAGTTGAATAGGTATTGAAGAAATCTTCTAGTAGAGTTTGTAATCTACTGTGTCACTGGATAGCATCATTGTTGATAAAGAAAGTCTTGGAAAAAAAAATAAGAAAAATGTACCCATAGTTCTCACTGCAGCAGTCATCTTTTTAACCCTGTTATGACAATATAAGACAAAAATAAATAAGTGAAGCAGGAAGAGAGTGGTGAAGTAAATTGACCAAGAATTTCAAGAACAAAAGAAATAGTTCTGAGGATTAGCTAGATATAACCAAGTAATAGGTGGAGTAGTCTGTCTGGTTGTATCTAGGAAACAGATTGCTGGTGAATCTGTGAGTACATTTAGAGAAATACTGTGAAGAAACCAGAGGGCTTTTTCTTTCGTTTTTGGCAGATGATCACTGTGAATGCATCATTGTTCCCCAGTTCTATTACTAATTCTTTGATAGCAGTTGGAAATGATGGTCTTCAAGAAAGAGACAGAATGGTTCGAGCATGTATAGCCATTATCTGTGAACTAGGTAAGATAACTGAAAGCTAATTAAGAAAAATTTTTATATGGTTGTCATCAGTCTTTTAAGAGATTTTCTGTGGGTTTGTGTTAAATAGATGATATTCAAATAATTAAGGGCATAATCAGATGTTAAATATTCGTAATATCATTTTCATGGATTTTAGTCATTCAGTTTGATATAAAGTGAAACCACTTTAACTTAAAATCAAAATCTCTTTAAGTACCTGAAGGTATCAGGTGCTGTTCTTTCCTTTAAGACTTGCCAGTTTTTAGTTTACATTAAAAATATTTCCCTGCTGCAGTTGATGTTTCTAATGCTAATGGACTGAAAGTAGGGAGAATTTAATCCATGAAATGCTGGCAAATGTACAGGATTTTGGAGAACTACAAAACATCATCGTTTAATTTTTTTTTGCAGTGGGTACTGTGGTTCACTGGCTTCTAGAAGTCAGTGTATGTGTCCACTATGTAATGGCTGTCTGGATGGTGGTTTCTACCAGCTCCCTATACTTGTCTGTGGGTGCTGATTTTCAAATTTTTTTCAAAATATATCAATATGAAATAACTTCAGCAGTGTTTTGAAGACAAACTTCTGTTTTAAAGAAATAAATGATCTGCTACTCTTTGGGGTTAGTATAAAATATTTATGCTAGACATAAAAGATACTATATGTTTAATAATACGTACGTTTCATAATCTCAATTCATTGCTAATGTCAGTCAGTTCCATTAAAAGCTTTACATATGCCTCAGCAGTGTTCAGGAAGAAAAATATAAATGTACTAAACAGACAGATTTGTCATATTGAAGCTGTGAAATGTTTTCTTTCCTACCGCTGGTCACAGTGATGTGTTTTTTCTTTATTTAGCGCTTCAGAATCCAGAGGTGGTGGCTCTTCGGGGTGGTTTAAGTACCATCTTGAAAAATGTGATTGATTGTCAGCTGAGCAGAATAAATGAGGCTCTCATAACTACAGTTTTGCACCTCATTAATCATCCAAAGACCCGGCAGTATGTGCGAGCAGATGTAGAATTAGAGGTGGGTTCAGTTTTGCTTATTTATTGACAGAAATTAAACATTGAATTAGTAATGAAAATGTTTAAGTTTTAATCTCTGATTTCACCCTCTGTGTTAGTGCAAAATCTTTAAAATACAACATTTTAGGCTAAGAGCATAGTGATTTATGAAGCAGGAATAACATTACAGATGGAGTGGGACTGAGGGGAAATGCAAAACTCATTCAACTGTATTCTCAGGTGAAAGTAATGAATGTCTTCTTGTCTTCTTTTTCTTCCTTTCTTTTCTTCCTTTTTTTTTTTTGTTTAGCGAATTTTAGCTCCTTACACAGATTTTCACTACAGGCATAATCCAGATACAGCAGAAGGACAACTCAAGTAAGTGCTTGTGGTGCTACTTGTGCTGTCAGTTGTTTTCATGGTACTGGAATTGAACTATTTTTCTTTCCAAAGTGAAAAAAGAAGCATTGACCTAATGCTAAACAAATATCTAACATTTAAAAGGGCTTGTTTAGCGCAGAGAAGAGAAGGTTTTGGGGACACGCTTCCTCAAATAGCAGCCTTTCTAATACTTATGAAGATGATGTAGCCTGGGCCCTTCCTGGTGGTGAATGGTGGGAGGACAGGAAGCAACAGGACGAAGTTGAAACAAGAGAGGTTCCAACGTGATATAAGGAGTGAGGAGGTGGGAGGTGGAGTTTTCTGTGGGGCTAGTTAAGTGTTAGAATGGGCTGTGCAGCGAGGTCCTGTAGCCTTCATGCCTCAGAGTTACTAAAACCCAGTTTGATGAAGTCTTGAGTGTAGCCTGGTCTGGTGTCATGGTTTAAGCCCAGCTGGTAAATCAGAACCACACAGCTGCTCGCTCACTCCCCCACTTCTTTCCACCCTCCTTTTCCCTCCCAGGTCCCAGAGGGATGGGGCGGAGGATTCAAAGAGTGTAAACCCCATGGGTTGAGATAAGAACAGTCCAGTAACTAAGGTATAATACAAAACCACAACTACTACCACCAGTAGTAATAAGGGAAATGTCAAGGGAAGAGAATGTAAAACAAAAGGGGAAAAGGAAAAGAAAACAATAAACCTCAGTGGTGCATGATACAATTGCTCACCACCCGCCGACCGATACCCAGCCCGACCCAAGCTGTGATCTGGGCCTTCCGGGTAACTCCCTCCAGTTTATATGCTGGGCATGACGTGCTGTGGTATGGAATAGCCCTTTGGCCAGTTTGGGTCAGGTGTCCCATCTCTGCCCTGTCCTGTTTTCCCATGCCCCTGCTCACTGGTGGAGCATGAGAGAGTGAAAAGTCCTTGATCAGAGTAAGCATTACTTAGCAACAACTAAAAACATCGGTGTTATCAGCACTTTTCTCAGGCTAAAGTTGAAAACACAAGAGAAGGAGAAAAATAACTGTTACAGCTGAACCCAAGACATCTGATCTGATTGCTGATAGCTTCTTCATTCAGGTTTTTGTATTAGAGACCTCCTGAGATTGCTTCCAACTTGAATTATTCAATTTTTTTAATTGCTGGATGTCATTGTATGCTTAGGTCTGGATAACCGGTAAGTTCCAAATCTTTAGACCCCTGTTGTAGACTTGCTGTCCGGGGAGGTGCAGAGTGATTCATCTGACCACATATAGGTGTTTACTTTGTGATATTATCCTTCTACCATGGAAACTCCCCTGAAAAAGGGAAAGTAACAAATTCTAATCTTTCTCTGTGTGCTTGTGTGCACATTGCATAAATACATATACAAGCATATATAAGCAAACGATCTCTTCCACTCTGGATTTTGTCCCCCATCTAAGATCTCAGTCAACAACTTTTTACTTTCTACGTTAGTAACACTGTTTGGTTTTTAATAATTAACTGTATTGTGACATTTGTTGTTTCAATGACAGGGAGGACAGAGAAGCACGTTTCCTAGCTAGTAAAATGGGAATAGTGGCAGCATTTCGATCATGGGCAGGTAAGATTTTTTAATTTGTTTGAAGCTGGATGATTGGAAGGAGAGTGGTTTGAGAGACAGTCTGTCTCATTTGATATGTCTGATTTCTATCAATGCCTTCCTACAATGCTACTAGCATGTTTTGGTATTGTAAAATTGTAGGACGCGCACATAGTTTTCTTTGACAAGACACAGCTTCCCCAACTCCCATATAGAATGCTTTTTAAGTTATTTAAGGTAGTACTTTGATGGTAGTTCTTGACATCTGATGGGTGAGAGGATGTTGAAAATAACATCATACTGTAAGAATTTGCCCTTGACATCATTCTGCCACTGTATATAAGAAATCTTTTCCTCTGTGAGGAGATACCACCAGAGTAGTTCCATTACCACCTGCTTCTACTAGGTGCCATAGCTGAAGCAAAATTGCAGATGGACAGAGTTTGGGATTTTTTGTGTAGAAGACACTTCTAAATTGAAAAAGCAGATTTTTTATTTTTTTCCCCTTCATTTTTCTAAATCCTGTCTCTGCAATATTGTAATACCTAACATGAAGGTACTGCCTTAAGGACTCATCACTCTTCTAGACAAGACAGTGTCTTGCAAATAAAGTTTATCAGTTGATATGATGATTTACCAAAACTGAGTAGGATTTTTGCAGGCTATACTTTGGAAAGATTTAAACTGTAGAGAAAGCCTTCTTCATTGTAGGTCTATTTGCTGTATCTTTTAATGTTCTGAAAATGCTCACTAAGCTTCTTTTAATATCCAGGTAACCTTCAAAAATTTTTTGCATGTGTTCTCACTTGTTCGGGGAGGAAGTTTGGGAAGTTTTTGATGACTTTGAAACTTCTAGGAAGCAGTTTCTAATGGCAAGGAAGATGCAGCAACTCTCCTCATACACTTAGAAATAATTATATATGCCTGAAACTTCAAGTGGCTGAAGAAAAATTGTCTTGGAATATATTAGTTGCCATGGCACTTCCACTGTTAAACAATTATCCTTTTTTATTACTTATGTTGGAGCCTAACATCTTAAATATTTTTAATATGAAAATGTCCTTACCCTGTCAGTCTTACCAAAGGACATGTAGCTAAACCAGACTGCAGGGTCTTAGTTTTCATTTTGGCTTTTTGCATGTTTTTTTGCATGTCTGTACTATCTGCCGTGTTACATTGTTCTGCTCTCCTGATTTTCCAGACTGGGTTATTCTTCAGAGCTGATGGTTACTATGTCCTTTATCCTCACAGGCAGTCATGTGCTTAGAGATAAAAACAGGCATGCAACAATGACTGCATGCACCCAAATCTGTTCCTGCATTTCATTTGGGATGTGGCCACTAGATGCTCTTGGAAAGACCTTTGAGGGGTGCATTTTGGAGCACGCTTAAGTGCCATTATTATTTACATGGCCGTATGTGCATGTCATTAGCTTTTGTGACATGAAGTTCTGAAATTCAGGACTTTAGTAAAGTTCATATAAAGCACCTGTCATTGAAGTTAAATTTATATTAGTGAAAATAAATAGGTAGATGACATTTTTCATTTTTTAGTTCTTTTTAAAGAATAACAGTTTGGGGTTTGTTTATGATCTGTAAGACAAAGTGGATTCTTTTTGTTCACTTAAAGTTGCATTTTGGAGAAGCTTGTTTATTTTCTGAATAGGATCTATCTAAATTTTAATTCTGTGAAGTACAAAGAAAAGTGGTCAAAGGAAATGAGCAGGATTACTGTCTTTGCAGCCACATTTTTGTTGAAGAGATGTATACAAATTGAGGCTAAAGATCAGTGTAAGCTGCAGGCATGTAACATTTAGGAACAGTTTGAAGGTTTTCCCTATTAATATTGAAATATTAAACTGATAAAAAATACAGTAGAAAAGGACCAAATTGTAAGAGAGGCTTTGAGGTTTTATACAAAGTTAAATCTACTATGTTGAAACTCTGGAGCTGAGCATTAGTCATTTAGGAAAAGATGGTTTAAAACTGTGCACAGAGAATGGTATTCCAAGTATGTTTAAACTTGCTGCTTAGAATTCATGTAGGTTAAAAGGAACTGAATAATTTGTTAGGCTAAGATACAGCTTTTGATGGAGAAACTTCTCACAGTTCTGCCAGGATGATTCAAATCTTTCAGGTTTAAGATTCATTCTTTACTGACAATTTTATCTTTTCTTTCTGCTATTTATTTAATAAATGTTGCTTTTGCAGATAAATTGAAAATACTGTGTACAGTAGAAAGAGCAAAAGTATCTATAGTTTTTAATGAAGAAGCAGATTTTTTTTTTAATTGAAGTTTTGTTTAATGTTATTTGTTGGAAAGGAGATAGCATGGTAAAGGTGAAAATGTTTATGGTTGGTAAGTTTTATTATCTGTACTCATACTCGAACTGGAAATAAAATTCAGTATGTTTAATGTTTTTTTTTTTTTTTTTTAATTTTTTATTTGGTGTGGGCATATTATTATTAAGTATTTGATGTTTTCTAGGTATTATCAGCCTGTGCAAACCTGGAAATTCGGGGATTCAGTCTCTTATTGGGGTACTCTGTATACCAAATATGGAAATAAGGGTAGGTGATAAACATTTACTACTGATGTAGGTATAATACTGGATATTTTACTTAAGGTATTCTTAAAAATTTAACAATTTAGTGGTTTAAACACAGACTCCAGTGAGACCGCTACCCTCAAGTTTATTTGATCACTGTGTTTAAGACTATAATTCCATTATAAAATTCCTGTGGGAATGGAAACACCCTGTATGTCTAAGAGCAGGGAATGGAGGAGAGAAAAATACATAAATTAATCTTCAGTCTGGTCACAAGTCAAAGCAGTTTCAGTAGCTGCAGTTATGAATTTAAAGCATAATAATCAGAGTTGAATTCGAGATAAATAAAAATGTTTCTTCGCAATTAGCAACCAAAAAGTTGATGGTTGCAGCAGTAACTGTTCTAAAAAATCTGTAATCCAAGTAGCTTGAATTTTCATAGAATTCAGAGTGACAATAAGGCACAGTTCTAAAGTAAACAAGCCTCTTCCTGTATTCTTTCCTCCAGATTATTTCAGTTTATGAATATAATCATGTTATAAAAAAAAAAAAAAAAAGACCCTGAAACAGGTTACACCAATTTTAGTACACTGTGGAAAATACTAACTGAAATATTAATAGTGAACAAAAGGACAATTTTTATAAATCTAAATTCTGTGTTTGTTTGGCTTTTTTGGTAGCGAGGTCTGCTTGAAGTTCTCTATGATATATTTCGCCTTCCTCTCCCTGTTAATGCAGAAGAATTTATTGAGGCACTTCTCAGTGTAGGTGAGTATTTAGAACCAGTTAACATAAGAATTCTGTCTATTAAGCTCTTCTATTAAATTTTAACTTAACTTCACTGTCTCCTCTGTATGGTAAATTATGTCAGTATCGCCTGTTTCATCAATGAATTCATTGGGTGCTCTGAAGTGTTGTTCAAAATTCTTTATCAGCTGTTAAGTGTTGTAAGTTTGATAAAGATCAGCAGTGGTGCATAATGGAGCCTTTACACAAATGACTGTGTAAACACATTACTACAAGTTTGACTTTCTTGAACTGTTCAAAGAGTTAGTGAATGTTACAGAAAAGTTACTGAACAGAGTATTTTCTATATATTGTGCATGTGCTAGTCATCTCCACTGCACTTAACCACACTTTTCCTAGGGCAGGTGTATGCTTTTTCATGTCTTTATATTTAGCAGAGTTAGGTTTTTATCTTTAGAATTACTCTGTTCTAAACCGAAGAGTATCCTCTGCTTTCGTTCACAGTGTCAAAGTATGAGCCCAGAAGGAACAAGTTTCAGCCTGTAACATTCCAGCAATTCTCCAAACTAGTTGATTATAAAACTTTAATCCTTATTACACATTTATAAGTAAATATATTGGGTTTTCTTGCAAACTTGCTACTTTGCAGCATATGGATGTAAATTTTAAATTTTTTGGTGTAACAGTGTTCTGTGTTAAACAAGTTTAATGTGTTTATGAATTGGAAATGTCATTATAGTAATAGACGCTTGGCTACCTCTTTGTCGTAGCTTTAAAGTTAGCTTTAGTTTGTTCAGGAGTATGTATTAGACAACTTCCTAGAGATCCTTTCTGACAAATTTTTCTGCAATTTGAAACCTCAAATAATTTTTATTTTTTTGCAAGAAGTGTTATTTGCATATTGATAACCATTAAAATAACACTATGAAATCCTGTGTTATAATTGCCATTGTCCATATTGTCCTAGATCCAAGCAGGTTTCAGGACTGTTGGAGACTTTCTGATGGCTTTGTAGCTGCTGAAGCTAAAACTGTATTACCCCATCGAGCCAGGTCAAGGTGAGCATTTAATGAGCTTACTGTAAACCCTTGTTTCTGTTTTGTGGTGGTGTTAGCAAAGTATTTGTTGTTTTTCTTGGAGATACCCTAAGAAACTAACTTTCTAAACTGTTTCCATACCCTTTTTTTTTTTTTTCCTTAGGCCTGATCTCATGGATAATTATTTGGCGTTAGTGCTTTCAGCTTTTATAACCAATGGACTTCTAGAGGTAACTGATGACGTTTGAGTAGATGCCTCCTACTTTTAACATATAAATGTTAAAATGTTATACATTAAGTGTTGTAATAATTCTTTAACTTTTTGAAGGGTCTGGTTGAAGTGATCACAAGTAGTGATGACCATGTGTCTGTTAGAGCAACTATCCTTTTAGGAGAACTTTTGCACATGGTAAGTAGAACTTGTGCTGAGAATAAGTAGTATCAGTAGCTAGTTGCAAATACATATTTCCAGCTATAGCTTTGAATTTGTGTTACGAATTTAGAACATCTACTTTTCATCAGAATAATGGGTCGATCTACACTGCATCTTTTGGCACTTCATACATCAAAACCAGGAAGGCTGTTTGGAAAGTATTGAAAGTGCTACAGGCTCTGCTCCAAGGATAATCCTCAGCTCTCAGACTCTCACCAGTACATTTCATTGCTGCAGTAGCTAGTTGTGTTTTAAGCTGGAGTCCTGCAAAGTCACATATCAGTTACTGTGTTTGGGAAAAGGACTTGCTGATTTTTGCTTTCCTCAGAATGATGGTAGCCCTCAGGCAGTATGTTTAGCTCCCTGCCTCACAGGCTAGGCAGATGAAAACTTTTCTTTACATTCAGCTTGATGTGGGTGGGGCACTTGATATTACTCATTCAGGCAACTACAACTTGGCAGTGCTCTATTAGCACTGCTGTGGGTAGCCCATGATACAGAGAAGCCAAATGGACCTTCCTTTGCTCTGCTTCCCTCAACCTAATGTACCTTTTACGGTAGCTTCTCTCTCTTAATCTATTCTGGTATAGAGATGATACTACTGTTTTCGTATATGCTCCAGTGCTACCTTTCAGCCTCACAAGGAGCTGTTAGTCATATGTGAAGTGATACGATTTACCTTTCTTGTGAAACAGTTCTTTTATTTCATCCTCTCTTGATGGCAAGAATAGTATATGCAGCAGAGCACTTCTTGCTATTATTTGGAAAAGAAGAGTTTAAACCCCCTCCACTTTATAAGAGATGGTAAAATTGCAAAATACAGCTTTGTCTTGCAAAAATTTGAATGTGAGTTACCAGACGTAGTCTGCAAATTTAGACTGTCGACTCATTTCATTGGTGGTTAATTGTCCAAAAAAGAATGGGCTATTACCACAGTGATTTCCAACATTTAAGCTCAGCAGCATGGGTCACAATCACAACAGATCTGTTCTTTAGCCTTTTCAGTAATTTTTCCTTAAATAATTGGTGAAATTTCTTGAGTAGTCAGTCAGCCATGTAGTTTAAAAAGAGGTATTTGTAATAACTCTACACTATTTTCCTGTTACTGACATTTGAGTATGCTGGAAAGCACAGGTATTTTTTTGGCTTTTTGTAGAGACAGTTTGTTAGTCAGAGGTAACTGTTTATCAAAATACTGAACAAATGTTTGTACTTCTATTTAATGTAAGAGATTGAAGTAATTATTTTCATTATCCTTTTATTTCCAAAAATACTTGCCTGTTTCCCAAAATAAAAGCAATTAAATATCTAATAGCTTAGGAAGTTAATTTAGTTAATGAGGGTTTGGGATTTTTTGTTTTGTGGGGTTTTTTGGTTTTGTGCAGAAAGATTTTAATAGAAATCATCAGCTTAAATTGTGTTTCTGGTTTTAGGTATGTTTGTACTTTTATACATAAGACATCAGGATATTTGATGCTTTGCATGTTTTTACACGTTAACACTTAAATTAGAAAACTCTGAAATCCAAAATTGTCTTAAGTCATTAGTGAAAGTATTGTGAAAAGTGTTAAGTTCTTCAAATGTTGATCCTAAACAGATGGCTTGAAAATGTAATAAGTTATTCTAACTGGTCTTCTGTTGTTTTTAGGCAAACACAATTCTTCCTCATTCTCACAGCCACCACCTGCACTGCTTACCAACACTAATGAACATGGCAGCATCTTTTGACATCATGAAAGAGAAAAGACTGTAAGAATTCTAAGTTTCACTTAAAAGCAAAAATATTTACATCTTCTTTTCCCCCTACAGATGAATGAAAACCTACAAGTTTTCTGGTGGCTGAAACCATTGCTGTCTTTACATAAAAGCAAACAAATTCATGTGTATATAAATGCTGCCTGATCTGCTTGCTTTTGTTTGTACGAGACAACTTAAATTCAGTGTTTTTGGGGGAAGGGGGTTCTAACATTAAATTGTAGGAAATGTCTTTGTTAATTACTCATGCCATTCCAGGTCTCCCTTGTCACATCAGTATGCTGATAAGCATATCGTAACTTTCTAAGTAAAATATTGTTCATTTTGTTGTCAGGACATAAATTACAGAATCTTTCTGAAATACTACTGTGTAATAAATGCTGTTTGTAGAGTGATTCAAAGAAACTTGGTGTTCTTCTGCTCTTTCTTTTGAAAGTTTCTTATGCCAATAGAAGATTTGGGTAGGTGATAACAGTTATTTTTCAAAAAAGGCATAGCTGAAACTCCATCACAGTAGATTTCACTTGGACAAAGTTGTGGGATCAGAGGAAGGATGAAGAGCAGATTGGATGCGTTTGTGGATTACCTGAATTTTTTTTTTTTTGCATTTTGACATTTGTAGATGTACCTGATAGAGTAGTAAGGCTTCCTGGTTTTGTTGGAAGAAAGTGATTTTGTACAAGTAATGTTTTTTTTATTTGGGGATCTTGGTTTTGGTCAACACTTTGTGTTGTTTCATAGTCGGGAAAATTGTAAGCCCTGTTACAGATTAAATTTAAGTAATTTAGATAAGTGACCAAATCCAAAGGTATTTTTATTTGAAGATAATATAAATAATAATAATATAAGCTCCCCTATGAGAATTCTTGTTTATGAGGAAAAAAGGTAGACTTACCTCCTCATTTTAGACTTCCTTACTTTATTTTGCTCAGCAGGTTTTTTTCTGCTACCGCTATTTTGTAATTAACAGTTTATGTCCTTGTCAACTGTCATTTCTATTACTACTTATCTTTTCCTGGAAAACTTCTTACACACTATTGCTGAACTGTTTAGATATAAGGAATGGAAAACATACTACTTATGCTACTGCCACCCTCCAAGGGTGGGGGAGGGAGGGAAAGTGGGGTGGGGAATCCAAAACCCATAGACAACAGAATTTACAAGAATTACTTTGTTAGTCAAAGTTGAAGCTAGCTCACTCAAGGTTTAACTTTACTGCAGAATGTTGTTCTACTGTGGCATCTCACAATACTTTATCAACTTTAAACTTTACGCTGTCATCTGTGAACTGTGATATATCCCTCACTACTAGAAATTGTAAAAGATCATTTTCTGTATAATTTCAGTACAAGACTGATGCCTGTGGATGTGTGAAAACTTGTATTAAGAAAATTATGTTCTTATTTGCTTCAGATTTAGTGGTTCTTTCTTGAGCTGTGTTTATTTACTTAAGATACAGCAGTGGTGCTATTGGGTAAGTTGCCAAATACTGATCGTGGGGTATTTTTCCTATTAGACGAGCAAGTGCCGCACTCAACTGCTTGAAACGTTTTCATGAGATGAAGAAAAGAGGACCTAAACCTTACAGCCTCCATTTAGATCACATTATTCAGAAAGCTATCTCAACGCACCAAAAAAGGGATCAGTACCGTGTGCAGAAAGACATCTTTATTCTAAAGGTATTACCATTACTGATTTTTCCAAACTGAATTTCACTTTGTATTTTGGAGACTTAGATCCTGCCCCCCAAGATTCACTCTGATTTAATTCAGTTATTTGCATGATTTCTTTGTGGTATTTTATTCATCTAATTTGTCTTGTTAGGTACTTGTGGATACTATATTGTATTTCTACAAACTGAGGAGCGAAATTACACTAAGGTTTGATGCCTTTTAGGACCAACTGTGATCTTTTACTATTAGATTATAACCATGCAATTTACTTGCAAATGTAAATTACTGTGGAGCATAGCCCTTTTAATGATTGTTACATGACTGGTAAGTGTATCATGTGACAAGACTGAAAAAAATGGTGCAAGGAAACTTACTGTAGTTTTTCATGTCTGTATTCCAGGATACAGAAGAAGCACTTGTAATGAATCTTCGAGACAGCCAAGTTCTCAATCATAAAGAGAATCTTGACTGGAATTGGAATTTAATAGGCACCATACTGAAGGTGAGCCTAAAAAGGGTGTGATACTAGTTTTACAAAATCGATTGACAGAAGTCTGCATTTCACATACAAGCTTTGATATTCAAACATTAATTCCATATGCAATCTCCTATGTTTTGAACTAATACAAATAATCCTGTATAATAGAGTTTATTATAAAATTAATTTGTTTTTACAAAATAAAAGAAGTATCTCTGACAGGGAGGGCATTATCTTAAATATATTTAAAGCACAGCTGTTAAGCAGAAAACTTTGAGGAAGTACTCAGTACAGCTTTCAAATCAAAATGGCTCCTGTCATTCGGTGAATCAAAGCCATACTTCTGTTGTTACCTCAAGTAACATTGTCTTACTGTCATCTTTACTGTGTTATAAAGATGCTCAAAGGACAATCAAGGGTTAATGGTGACAATGATAATCAATATTATATTAAAACAGTAATAGAAACTAAGTATTTCTGTTGACTGTGTATTATTTCTCTTTCCCCCACCCCCAGAGACTGATAAACTTGAGAGAGAGCAAGAATCTGGTACAAAGACCTGAATATGTGTATTAAAGTAACTTTGCTCCACCAAATTTCACTCTTCAGAGGCTTTTAACTGCAATTTACTGGATTGCTAGATACCCATGATGATTAATCAGATGGCTTTTTACCTTTGATTCAGTATTAAAGATATCAAGGAACTTTTTCAGAATCTTGTTCTTAAATAATCAGAGTAATACGTGGACTATGGAAGCTTTATGTAGTTGACCACTAAGGTGTTGGGGTTTTTTTTTACTTGAAATTTAAGTCAAGCTGCCAGTTTCAATGCTGTCTCAGACTTCTCTGGCAATAGATTTTCTAACTGTCCTGTCAAACTGTTGCTAATGTCTCAAAATCAGGGGATTTCTGTCTTTCAGAATGAAAAGTTTGTGTGCTTTCTGGTTTAATTCTAACCACTTCTATTTCTGTCAAAATGCACACCAGCATAAACTAAGATAATGTTATTAGGGTGGTCCATATTTAGTCCTTGAATGAGAAGCATCCAGATTCCAGTGTTTGGACTTGGCTGTCTTATGTTCTTCTTATCTTTGTCGCAGACTGTGGACAGCTGTGGAGCATCAGTTTTCTAACAATCCACTACTTGCATCTCATGTGGTCCTTTACTGCCTTTTTTACTTGCGTAGCTTGCTGAGCTGCTAAAAGAGCAGCAAAAATGGCAGTGGTCAGTATGGAGGAATTGCAACTTTGTCATTGACAGTAGAGCTTCATACTTTATCTGGCACTGTTACTAGTGTAATCAGTTCTACTAATCATTAAGTAGTGCACTTTATGTCTTTAGTGAAGTGTATCACTTAGGTAGGAAAGAAGAATGTTTTATGCAGTTTTTCTCCATCCGTTCTATGAAGATACTTACTAGTAGCAACAAAAATAGATCTGAAACCATAGAGACAACATATGGCTGTAAAAACAGAGGAAAATATAATAGAAAGGATAGGGTAGAGGAGAGAGTGGTGCGGCTTCATGTGATCCTTCTTAAAACATTCATGAAGAGTTTAAATACCATTTTAATAAGCAGTATTTAAATTAACTGTACAAGAATAATGATTATTTTAAAACAAATAATAGTGAAACTGCTACAAAAATTATTTCTCTATTATGCAGATCAATTTTTTTTATTTGCAGAGAAGAAACTGAAGAAACTTGTTAATTTTTCATTAGCTTTTCACAGTTTGCTCTTTTCATTAGTATTGCGGCCTTATACACATTGCATGTGACTGACATTCCCTGTCCTTTAGAAAAAAATTGAATAGTTCTTGGAGCAGGAAGTGTGGGGTTTTGAATAAATAAGGGGGTTTTATAGATAACATTAGATGCAAGAAAACTTACGCTTCTAATTATTAGGTAAATATATATTTAATAGTAATGAGAAAATTTTAGTGACTAATCAAGGACTGATGTACGGGTTTCATATAATGCTGTATTTGCTGTTTTTCTAGTGGCCAAATGTAAATCTAAGGAACTATAAAGATGAACAATTGCACAGGTATGTAAAAATTACATAGATCTCCTTTGCAGAGAAAAATTTGGAAAAACTGGATTTTAATATTGCAGTAAACTGTTCCTTGCGTATATCACATTTCTAAAACTTAATCTCTAGATAAGGAGCAAACCAGAAAATTAACATAATAAGGTTGCAGTATTTGCTTTAAATAAACAGGACTTTAAGCTTCAGTAGTTTATTTTCTATGCACAGATACTTTATATATTTATTCCCTTAACAAGCTTTGCAAACACCTGTTTCATTCTAAACCTTGAAGTATTACCTCTTTGATATTTAATACATTACTCTTTAACGTCAACACTTGACAAATTTTGACACAATGGGTCTACAGTTGTACATTTATATAGCTCAGCTTTCATCAAAAACTGAAAGGAAGTTATTTCTAGTTGCTCTTAATGGCAAGGAAAGCATCTGTGATTTGGGAGAAAGAAAACGTACAGCTCTGGTTCTTTTCATGTCTGTTTCTGTTGGCATTTAGACATTTTTATTTTGTGCATGTATGGTCATAGTGTTACTGTAATTAGTTCTTGAATGTGCCTTTTAACATGAATTTCAGAAATTTGTTTGGTGAAATTACTTTAGAGAGTAGTTCTGTTCTGCAGGCATGGAAAGCTACTTCTGCTGCTTCTGTGAAATTCCAAGTATTTTTGGTAGTGATGTGTTCATTTTATAGAAATACAGTTAATGCATGTGTCTACACATGTACGTGCATATACATATATATATATATACACTTGAGTATACACATATATGCACACATAAAAATGTGTTAGTTAATATATGTAACATATTCACTGCTAGCAACCCAGAAAAAAATTGATTTCATTTGACAAAACTTAAAGAAGCCCTCAGATTTTCTTATAATTCATCCTGTGTTTGGAGTTGGGATAGTGGCTTACTCTCACTTTAACGAAAGGCTTAGTGCTCTAGTTAAGTTTTCTTAATGTTCAACATACCTACCTTCAGACAGAACATTCTGTGTTATTTTTAAGCACTAGTGTGTGTTTATTTTTTGACAAAGAATTGGTATGAGGAAGCTCTCTGCTGAAGATTTATTTCTGCAATGCAAAACTCAAGCTATATATACCACGATCTCAAAAAGTCTGAGTCTGCATCTACATTTGCAATCGCTGTGTAATTCTACAGAAATGCTAAAGTGAGCTGAATGAAAATACTGTTGCAGAATAAATATGGCCTTTTCCTGGCAGACCACAAAAATGTATTTTTCACTTTAGTATTAACTAAAGTAGCTGAAGAAAACTCAGGTCACAAATTCTTGTTTTTCTCTTTTTAAGTCTAGATAGTATAGTCTTCAAAACTCACCACAGGCTAAACTGCAGCAAAATAAATTACAAGCATGAGAAGAAGGAAGCTATCTATGGCTTCCAAGAGTATAAAGGGTTTTAGTTCCTTTGCTTATTTTAAATCATGGCATGGAAAACCCTTCATAACATGCAGTACAGTCGCGTGTCTGAATAGTCGCATTACTGCTACCTGCTACTCTTCTTAATAACTTTTGTAAATTTTATTTCCAATAAACCAATTTAATGATAATGTATCTTTTCTACCAGCATCATTTTATACTGTGAGACTGTCCTTGTCATACTGAAAAATAGCTAATTTTTTTTACTTTCCATAGGTTTGTAAGGAGATTGCTGTATTTTTACAAGCCTAGCAGTAAACTGTATGCCAACCTGGATCTGGAGTATGCCAAGGCTAAGCAGCTGACTGTGGTGGGATGTCAGTTTACTGAATTTCTTCTTGAATCAGAAGAGGTAAGAAATGTTCAGCTCTTTAGAATTCGTAGTGCTACTGTATGCCACTTAGAGGAAAAACCTCAATTTTAGTAAAGACTTTGGGTGTTAAAGCTAAAATGAATAGTGTAATTAAGAAACATAACTTAAGATCTTAAATTACCCAGATGAGACACTGAGGAAGATGACTGTGTTTAAGTAGAAGTTTTATTAAATACAGCTTTATTAAATGCAACTTAGGCTTTGGAGTTCTTTTTATTTATGCTGTGTACATCCTTCCTTTCTCTACCTCCTTTCTTCTTGTGTGCTAAAGAATTTTTATGCCTTAGGTCAGAGCAGTATGTCATTGAACAGTCTTTTTCCTGGAAAGAATAGAATTGGTCCTGAAATGTCTCCAAGCTAAAGTCCTTTTATTTGCCTTGAACCTTTTTCTTTAGTCTGAATTGTGTTTTCTAGTCAGCCTTTCTCTTTTGTATCTGCATTGTGTTTGTACATTTTAAGAAAACTAAAATGATGGATTTCAGTAACGAGACACCGAGTTCTAGTAAATAGCATTTACTTTGTTTTGTTAGGATGGACAAGGTTACCTGGAGGACTTGGTTAAAGATATTGTACATTGGCTTAACTCTTCATCAGGAATGAAACCTGAGCGTAGTCTTCAAAATAATGGGTTATTGAATACCCTTAGCCAGCACTACTTCCTGTTTTTTGGTACTCTCTCTTGTCACCCTCATGGAGTGAAAATGCTTGAAAAATGCAATGTATTTCAGTGGTGAGTGGTTTTATTCTGTTTAAACTGTGCTTATGGGTATAATGAAAACTGTAACCTGCATGAGCAAAACCATCTGTAAAGATCCCTAGTTTGGCGGGGGGAGGGGTTCATTGGTTTTTTTTTGTTTGATTTGTTTTGTTTTGTTTTTTGTTTGTTGTGGGGGGTTAGTGGTTTTGGTTTGGGGTGGGTTTTTTTTGGGGGGGGGGAGGATTTGTTTGGGTTTTGTTAAGGAGGAGTCTTTTAGGCTGCCATTACTGAACAGACATGTGTGAACCTATCACAAAATTCAGTATCTGTCTGATGGAAATCAGTATCAGGAAGGATGGTACTGTACTGAAAAGATGGGGGGAGGAGGGGAAACAAGAACAAACAAACAAAACCCGCAAACCACTAAAAACTGGAAGGTATCATAGTCCTTGTGAATTGTGATGATTCATGTTGTACCTAAAATTCAGACTAATAGATTTGAATGAAGCTGTGAAGTTAAAATTTTCTTCAGGTCCGAATAAACAAAGATGTTTTGATATACTCGGGTTTTTTTGGGGTTTTTTTAATTGTTTTCATTGATTATTAGAGTGCAGTTTTTTCTACTAGTTTCAGAAAGCCTAGTTTACAGTAAAATCTAGACAGTTAATAGCACTAACTTTATGGCAAGCTAGAATAGTGCAGAATGTTTTACAATGAGGATTTGTGCACAGAGTTTCATGAACACTGTTATTCGTGCTCAAAGTCACTAATTAATGCAAACAAAATTATGACTGAGCAGTTATGAAAAAATGTTTATTTGGGGTCTTCCCCTTTGCAGTTCAGTGCATTATTTGTTCCCCATTTGACTCTAACAGATATAACAGGTTAGAGTTAACCTCATTTCATATGAGAACTTTGTATTCTGCATAGAAATTAAAGTCTAATTCAAAGTACTTAATGATCAGTACAATGCTGACTGAAAAATTAGTTCAAGTGGATTCAAATACTAATTTATTTTTTTTTATTCTCTCTTTTCCTTTCCCCCTTCCCCCCACCCCAGTCTTCTTAATCTTTGTTCTTTGAAGAACCAGGATCACTTGTTAAAATTGACTGTTTCTAGTTTGGATTACAGCAGAGATGGGTTAGCAAGAGTCATTCTTTCTAAAATCCTGACAGCAGCTACTGATGTGAGTTTGATTCTACTTACGTGCCACTGTTATTTGCCACTAGATGTTTATTTTGTTATTCAACGTGTATGACTTTATTTTTAAGCTATTATATATCCAGAAAAGTTTTTATTTTTGTGTTCAGAGAAATGAAACTCCTACTCATGCAACTTTTCAATTTGCTGTGAACTTCACACCATACATTTTGTTTGTGCTTAAGGAATTCAGCCATTCAAACAGGGGCTCAGAGCCCAATGTATGTATAAAGCTGGGATTATTTTTTCGTTTTAGCTGATTGTTTCAAATATATTTGCAGTAAATTTTACTTGCCATTTTATTGTCCCATCAGAGTAGTAAGTTCATATTTTCCTTCTCCAAACAGAAAATAATAATTGTTTTAACTATGTAGTAGCTATTTTGATTAATTCATGTTCAGGAATTATATTACAGGAAGTAAATATTGTGGTCTTTTGTTCTCTGTATCATACTTGGTAGAGTTACAGCAGTTACAAAGATTCATTCTAGACAGATTTTAACACTTGAACTACATAACACTGAATTATGCTTTTATGTTACTGTGTTATTCTGTAAGCTTAAGTTACCAAGTGATCATTTCAGCTCTTGTTCTCTTCTTTAATAATTACACTGCTAGTTGTCTATTCCAAGTACAAGGCGTACCACTAATGGAATGCAAGCCATTTCAACGTGGTTGTGCAGCCTAGGTCAGAGTTGCAAATCACTGTTCCACAGTCTTTCTTGATACATGTGGTATGTCAGTCCTGTCTCTCTTCCAAAAAATAAGCCTCTGTACATTGAATATGTGAAAATGTTCACATTTGAGTTGAAATAATGAGACAAGGTTTTGGAAATTTACTATGCACATTCACATTTGCTTCTCATTTTCTTTCAAGTGTCCAACCTGGGCCAATTCACCTATCTCTTGCAATACAGATAGTCACATGCATCTCAGCATGGATTGGTTCTATTTTAACATCTAAGAAATTTACTTGGTTATCTGTCATAGTCTTAAAGGTGTAGGGACTGAAGAACTGAAGAAAAATTTGGACATCTGATACTGGTTTTTACCAGCTATGTTTGTCTCAGCACAGATAAAACCTTTCTTAAGAAGCATACATTGTGAGGATTATTCTGTGGTTACTCCAGAACACTGCAAATTCTTGTAGATTAAGCCTGTTTGCATCTATTTTGCTTGTATTTTCTCTAACAGAAAATGGTGTTGAACAGTTCATGCTGTTTATTCAGTAAGTTTTGAACAGCAATACAGGAACTGTTCTGCTGTCACTTGTAGAAATTCATAGTAGTAAACCAAATGCTGGGAAACTCTTTATTTATAGAAAACACCACTTTTCTGTTTAGAAGATTTTTTAAGATGTTTTGAAGATCATATACTTTTAGGAAAAAAATTAAAATGTATTAACATAAATTCCCCAGAGGTTCTTATATTTGTTTGTTAATGTTTTCTGCAAAGCATTGCATAAATTTTTAAAAGAGTATACAGTTGAACTGACCATTTACAGGGTATTTTTCCTGCTAATTCTGATTTCTTCGTGGGTTGCTGTCACAGTGAATGGCCAATTGATAAGGAATTTCCAAGGAGACTTGCAATGAACAGATTATTTGTGATCTCAGACTCAAATTTCCCATTTAAGACAGAAATAGCTCTTTGGTAGACTGTAGTTTTAGTACAGGTGTGCATCACAGGTACTTGCTGTAAAATACAGTAATTGAAATGTATTTTTAAAACTGATAAATCATTAATTATGTTAACTGTTTTTCTTCTATTAACAAATGCATTTTCCTTGCTTTTGAAGAGCTGTAGGTTGTATGCCACAAAACACTTACGAGTGTTACTGAGAGCAAATGTGGAGTTCTTCAGCAACTGGGGGATTGAGTTACTGGTGACCCAGTTACATGATAAAAATAAAACTATTTCTTCTGAGGCACTTGATATTCTAGATGAGGCATGTGAAGACAAGGTGAGCATCCTTTCTCTTTTCAACCTCTTTTTGGTACACTATCCCATAAGCTATTCCCCACCCCTTTCCTCAGCAGCAAAGTAAAAGTATGCAAGAAGCTACTGATGGTTTCCTTTCTTGATTGTCATTGATGGACTTCATAATAGTTTATAGACCCCTTTGCTGAAAATGCTGCAGTATTAATGACAAGATAATGTAGATTTCTGGATTATGCCTACTTTTAAATATGAATTCAGACTCATTCAGCTATTTTGATAGTTATACTTTTTGTGAAAAGAATATATATTAAATGACAAAAGGTGCAGTACCGGAAGTAGACTTTTTAAGGAGGAGGTTAGTGCTGTTTGATACTTCCTTTTGCAAAAAACATCTTGCTTCTTTGCTGGCAGATTGTTGTAATTGTAGTTTTCTGAATTACGTAGTGCTCTGATACTCCCTATGCATTTTTAATTATTTTAGGCCAATCTCCATGCCCTTATCCAAATGAAACCAGCTCTTTCTCATCTTGGAGACAAGGGTTTACTTCTGCTTCTAAGGTAAATGTTGAATATGCTCTTTAACTTTACATTGTGGAAACAAGTAAGTGTTTGTTTTTTATTAAAATGATGTGATTTGTTTTAAGTGAAATATTAACTGTCTAATGTTACTTTACAGATTTCTGTCCATCCCAAAGGGGTTTTCATACCTAAATGAAAGAGGTTATGTAACAAAACAAATGGAAAAGTGGCAAAAGGTAATGCTAAGGATAAAAAGTGTGTTTGATAATAGGAGGAATGGTGTGAATATGCAGGTTAAGGTCAAAGATTCTTTAAAATATTGTCTTGCTAATGCCAATATATTTATTGCCTCAGTGACTTAATGATTTTGCTGAAGAAGGTTGACAGGGACTTATAGTTCCAAAGCTCCTCTATACATGTGTGCTTTTAATTTATCTAGGCCTTTTATATAATTTGGATATTTCAGCAAATATTTCAGGAAGAAATATTTCAGGAGTTTAGTGACTTTCTAAATGGTTGTTGTGTTAAGGTCTTACCTGGAGAAGTATGTAAAGGAATACTACTCTTCAAGATACCTGTTATCTCTGCTTATTGCTAATTAAAGTTAAATCTAGACCTCATGAAGATATAATTAGTTTGTGCTGTTAGGAAGTGAATAAGAACACAAGACCATTAAGAAAAATGCATCATTGCCATGAATAGAATAAAACTCTCCATACATTATTTTCTTTTCATAATTGATTATAAGTGCTTGGTCTCATTCCTACAGGTAACTTATAACTTGTTTATAAGCTAGCACTTTTGTAGGAATACTGAAGTGCATGATGGCCTGTTGGGATTCTTCAGGTTAAAATCAGATGTGAAGTATTTCCTTCTTTCCTTCCTTTTTTAACAAATTCACGGAAATAATTATGGTATGAATTGTCAACTCTGCAAACTCATTGTATGTATGAAGAGCAGTAATTTGGATGAGCCCCACCTTCAGATCATAAAAAAATTCAGCCTTCCTTAAGGAGGACTTCAATTATTCCTTCCTTATAAATTACCATACTATAAAAACATAAGCAACTAAATGTATTGCATCAACCTGTGTCTTGTTTTAGGAATATAACTTAAAGTATGTTGAATTGATTGAAGAACAACTAAATGAAGCACTTACAACATACCGCAAACCTGTTGATGGTGATAACTATGTTCGTCGGAGCAACCAAAGGTAAATTTTGGAAAATGTGTCTTTGGGCCTAAGGTGGTGGGACTGATTGAGAGAGCTTTAAACTAGAATCTGGGTGGATAGGGTGTAGCAAGAAGATTGCACTATGTAAGCCAAGGGTTGTTAAGGCATCATTTGAGAGTGGAAGGGCTAGCGGGGACATTTATGCTGCTCCTGGGAGCACGGGTGGTGAACTGGAAGTGGTGGCCAGTTTGTAGAACTATGATATCATTGGTCTTAGCGAGACTTGGCGGAGTGAGTCCCACAATGAGAGTGCTGGGATGGAGCGCTACAGGCTGTTCAGAAAGGATAGGCAGGGCAGGCAAGGTGGAGGTGTTGCCCTGTATGTAAGGGAAAGGTTTGACTGTACAGCACTTACAGTTAGTGGTGATGTGTTTGAGAGCATCTGGGTGAGGATTAGGGGGATGGAAAACAAAGGAGATATTGTAATGGATGTCTGCTACTGATTGTTCAGCCAGGATGTTAGCATTGATGAGTTACTCCATAGGTATTTAGGAGAAATTTCTGGTAGCCCTTGTCCTTATGGGGGATTCAACTTCCTAGACGTGAAGGGGAAATATCATACTGCTATAATGAGCAGGTCTTGGAAATTCTTGAAGTTTGTAGGAGATAAATTCTTGTCAAAAGTGCTCACTGGGCCAGCTAGGAAAGATGCCCTCCTAGAGATGCTGTTTGTGAATAGAGAAGGACTTGTGGGGGATGTGATTGTAGGTGGTTGTCTTGGCCACAGTGATCATGAAATGGCTGAGTTTAAAATTTTCAGTGGAATAAAAATAACAGCAGAGTTGCTACCCTGGACTTCAAGAAAGCAAACTCAGGAAGCTATTTAGCAGAGTACCCTGGGAGTCTGCTTTTGAGGTATTAGGAGTCCGTGAGTGCTGGTCTGCTTTTAGGACCTTTTGAAAGCAGAGGAGCAGGTAATCCCGTTGTGTTGGAAGTCGAGGAAGCAGGGCAGAAGACCAGCTTGGCTGAACCGTTTGCTCCTTGTGGAGCTCAAGAGGGAAAAGAAATTGTGTTATCTATCTCTGGAATGAGGTCAGGCTTCACAGGAAGATTATAGAGCTGTGGTTCATATATTCAGGGAGAAGACATGAAAGGCCAAATCTCAGTTAGAATTAAAATTTGGCCAGTATTGTGTCAGGTAAGAAGGAGTTTAAGTATGTTAATAGCAAGAGGTCTAAATAAAACATTTTACCAATACTTGTTGAAGATGGTCACCTGATTAATAGGGATGAAATAAAAGTGGAGGTATTCAATGCTTTTTGCCTCAGTCTTTAAGAACATTGATCGATCTTGGCCTGCCCGGTCCTGTGAGTCAGAGGAGAACAGCCGGTTTCCATTTGTGGACACTGAAATTGTAAGGGACCAGCTGCATCAGCTGAATGTGCTCAAATCAGTAGGATCTAGCAGATGTTATGGCAAGATCCCTCTCGATCATCTGCCAAAGATTTTGTCAGCGGGGGAAATCCCTGCTGACTGGAGGCTAGCCAGCTTTATTCCAGTTTATGAGAAGGGCGTAGGGAAGACCTAGGAAACTACAGACCTGTAATCTAACCTCAGTTGCTGGAAGAATTATGAAGATCATATTAGGTAATTTTGAAAGGCAATTAAAGAACAAGGTAATCATCAAGCACAGTCAGCACAGGTTCACAAAGGGAAATTAATTTGATATGCTTGTATAATAAGGTTCCCCCACCTGGGATGAAGGGAAAGGCAGTAGATGTAGTTTTTTCTGGATTTTCATAAGGCTTTTTATACTGTCCCTCGCAGCATCCTGCTGGGCAAATTGTCAGACTGTGGAAGGAGTGGGTTCAGTGTGCTGGACAAAGAACTGGCTGAATGCCAGAGCTTGAATGGTTATAGTGGATGGGGCTACATCTGGCTGGTGACTGGTCACCAGTGGTGCTTCTCAGGGCTCAACTCTAGGGCCAGTTCTGTTCAATATATTTATCAGTAATGGGGATGGAATGCAGGAGTCATATGCAATCCGTTATCAGTTTGCTGCAGATGTCAGAGGCGGAGGTGTTGTTCACTCTCTTGAGGGACAGGAGGCCTAGCAGAGAGGGATCTAGATAGATTGAAGCATTGGGCCATCTTAGCAAGTCCAAAAGATTCTGCACCTAGGACTGAGTAATGCCAGGCTCCAATATAGCCTAGAAGAGGAATGGCTGGAGAGCAGCCCTGCAGGAAGGGATCTGGGGTGCTGGTCGGCAGCAGGCTCTGCGTGAGTCAGCACCGTGCCCCCAGCGGGCAAACCCCGTCCTGGGGTGCATACCCCGGCCCTGGGGTGCACCAGACACAGCATCCCCAGCCGCTCAGCAGAGGTGGTTCTCCTGCTCTGTTCAGTGTTGGTGCAGCCTCACCTGGAGCACTGTGGGAGTGCTGGGACCCACCATTTTAAGAAGGATGTGAAGGTCCTTGGATGTGTCCACAGGAGGCAACAGAGCTGGTGACAGGGCTGGAAGGAACGTCCTGTGAGAAGTGGCTGAGGGCTGTGGGCTCAGAATCATAGAATGGTTTGGGTTGGAAAGGACCTGAAGATCATCTAGTTCCAACCCCCCTGCCATGGGCAGGGACACCTC